CAGCTAAGCTGTGAAACTCTTATCTCCAATAAACCACTAGAAAACCAGAAGTGGTGCTGTGGCTCAAGTGGTAGAGCACTAGTCTTGAGCTGAAGAGCTGAGGGACAGCACCCCCAGGCCCAGAGTTCAAGCCCTATGACCAAACCAAAAAAAAAAAAAGGTTTTGAGTGTGTGGCTCAAGTGGTAGAGCTTTCAAGGCCCTGAGTTCCAGTGCTTTAAAAAAATAAGTGTCTCAGGACTGGGAATGTGGCTTAGTGGTTAAGTGCTTGTCTAGAATGAATAAAGCCCTGGGTTCCATTCCTCAGTATCACATACACAGAAAAAGTCCTGAGTGGTGGTGTGGCTCAGGTGTTAGAATGCTAGCCTTGAGCAAAAAGAAACTCAGAGACAGTTCCCTGGCCCTGAGTTCAAGCCCCAGCATTGGCAAAAAAAAAAAAAAAAGTATCACTTTCTCTCTCTCTTTCTTCTTTCCTCTTATTACTTTTTCTTTTCTTTTTTTTTGGTCTGGTCGTGGGGTTTGAACTCTGGGCCTGGGCGCTGTCCCTCAGCTCTTCAGCTCAAGGCTAGAGCTCTACCACTTGAGCCACAGCGCCACTTCTGGCTTTTTTCTTTTTGCTTATGTGGTGCTGAGGAATTGAACCCAGGACCTCAGGCATACAAGGCAAGGGCTCTACCACTGAGCCACCTTCCCAGCCCCTCTTACTACTTTTGTAAAGCAGTTTTGAAACTGTGTGTTTGATGGTACTGGGGTTATACTTGTTTTTCTTTGGTGAAGTACTGGGGCTTAAACTCAAGTTCTCAAGATCTGCTTTCTCCCGTTCAGTTCACTTAATTCCTTAAGAATTGGCTCTACTGTTTATTATTTTGCTGGTTAGAGATAAAAGTCTCATACTTGTCTGCCCAAGCTGGCTTCAAATCGTGATTCTAAGGTCTCAGCCTCCTGAATAGCTAGGATTTTAGACATGAAACAGTGTCTTTCTTCCTGTTCTGCATGCCTCCACCATGGGCCCCTATTTTTTGATTCCTGCCATAGCTGGAATGGCAGTTAGATGCCACCACACCCAGCTTCTTCTCTTGATCTGGGACTCTGATCCTTCCCATCTCAGCCTTCCACATAGACAGTGCTACCAGGCCCAGATACTGGTTGAGAAGGGATTTGACAAGTTTGTTTTTTTTTTTTTTGCCTGGGTTGGCCTCAAGCTATGCTCTTCATTATTTCAGCCTCTCAGGTAGGCATGAGTCACTGATGTTCAGCCAGATTTATTTACTTATTCTTTTTTTTTTGGGGGGGGGGGGGTCTGGTCGTGGGCCCTGAACTCTGGGCCTGGGCGCTGTCCCTCAGCTCTTCAGCTGAAGGCTAGCATTCTACCACTTGAGCCACAGCGCCTCTTCTGGTTTTCTGGTGGTTTTTTGAGATGAGAGTCTCACGGACTTTCCTTTCTTCTGGGCTGTATTTGAATCTCAATCCTCAGATCTCAGCCTCCTAAGTAGCTAGGATTACAAGTGTGAGTCGCTGGCATCTGGCAAGTAGCACGTTTGATTTTTTTTTTTAATTATTCAGGCTGAAAATAAATGCATTCGTGGTAGTATATAAGATGCAATTATGTCGGGCGCCGGTGGCTCACACCTATAATCCTAGCTACTCAGGAGGCTGAAATTGAGGATCACGGTTCAAAGGCAGCCCAGGCAGTAAAGTCCATGAGACTTTTATCTCCATTAAAGCACTAGAAAACCGGAAGTGGATCTGTGGTTCAAGTGGTAGAGCGCTCACCTTGAGGTGAAGAGCTGAGGGACAGCGCCCAAGCCCTGAGTTCAAGTCCCACGACCTACAAAAAAAAAAAAAAGATGCAATTATATTTTGGAGAAAAATAACTACAGATTTCAGATTTCTCATAAGGATACTTGTATATATAAGTTGTTTCAAAGAAGTCAATGAGAAAAGTTAAAATTGAGAAAACCCTTGTTTTCCCTCCCTAGAAAAATGGGTGAAAATCCATATGGGTGGTAGAATGTGTTCTGAGATTATAGTTGGAATATCTCAACCTAAAATATGCTTGCATGTTATCTGCTTACCTTGTAGTTTTTGTTTTTCTCTTAGCTTAATTCTGATCATCCATCAGCTCATTGTGTTTTTTCCTGGAATGCTTTATATTCTCCCTTATATTCTGAGGGTTTTTCTTAATTTTCTTTTTTTGGTGCCGGTCCTTGGGCTTGCATTCAGGCATTTTTTTTTTTTTTCTTTTGGTCGGTCTTGGAGCTTGAGCTCTGGGCTTGGGCGCTATCCCTGTGCTCTTCAGCTCAAAGCAAGTGCTCTACCACTTGAGCCACAACACCACTTCCGGTTTTCTAGTGGTTAATTAGAGATGAGTCTCACAGACTTTCCTGCCCAGGCTGGCTTTGAACCGAGATCCTCAGATCTCAGCCTCCCGAGCAGCTAGGATTACAGGCGTGCGCCACTGGCGCCCAGCTTATGAGCTTTTGTGCTTAAAGGCTAGCAGCCTCACTTCTCGCTTATTTGGTAGTTTACTTTTCTGTCCTGCTTTGAACTGCAGTTCTTAGATCGTTAGCCTCCAGAGTAGTTAGGATTACAGGCATGAACCACCAGCATTCAGCCTGAAATTTTTATTTTTGGGTCCGGTCGTGGGGCCTGAACTCTGGGCCTGGACGCTGTCCCTCAGCTCTTCAGCTCAAGGCTAGTGCCCTACCGCTTGAGCCACAGCGCCACTTCCAGCTTTTTTATTTTTGCTTATGTGGTGCTGAGGAATTGAACCCAGGGCCTCATGCATGCAAGGCAAGCGCTCTACCACTGAGCCCCCTTCCCAGCCCGTTTTGTTGTTGTTGTTGGTTGTGGGCTCGAACTCTGGGCCTGGGCGCTGTCCCTCAGCTCTTCAGCTCAAGGCTAGTTCTCTTGCACTTGAGCCACAGTGCGACTTCTGGTTTTCTGGTGGTTTATTGGAGATAAGAGTCTCATGGAGGGGCTGGGAAGGGGGCTCAGTGGTAGAGCGCTTGCCTTGCATGCTCGAGGCCCTGGGTTCAATTCCTCAGCACCACATAAGCAGAAAGAAAAAAGCCGGAAGTGGTGCTGTGGTTCAAGTGGTAGAGCGCTAGCCTTGAGCTGAAGAGCTGAGGGACAGCGCCCAGGCCCAGAGTTCAGGCCCCACGACCGGACCCAAAAAAAAAGAAAAAGAGTCTCATGGACTTTGCTGCCCAGGCTAGCTTTGAACTACAGTCCTCACATCTCAGCCTCCTTAGTAGCTAGGATTATAGGCCACTGACACCTGACTACATTGCATTCTTGACTGCATTCTCCCCTTCTCTACTTCATTATCCTAAGTTTTTTGGTTCTCCCTCCTTCTACTCCTTCCCCGCCTCACCCCAAGTCCTAGGGCTTGAGCATGAGGCCTGGGCACTGTCCCTGAGCTTCTTTTGATCAAGCATAACACTCTACTACTTCAGCCACAGCGCCACTTCAGGCCTTTCTTGTTTATATGGTACTGAGGAATTGAATCCAGGGCTTTATGCATCCTAGGTAAGCACTTCACCAATAAGTTATATTCCTAACCTAACTTATGGCTTAAGTTTTGTTTTGTTTTGTTTTGTCAGTTGTGGCGCTTGAACTCTGGCCTGGGCACTGCCCCTGCAGTCTTAAGCTCAAGACGAGCCACAGCACCACTTCTGGTTTTTCTAGTGGTTTATTGGAGATAAGAGTCTCCTGGAGTTCCCTTCCTGGGCTGGGCTGGCTTTGAACCTGATCCACAGATCTCAGCCTCCTGAGTAGCTAGGATTATAGGCGTTAGCCACCGCTGCCCTGTGACTTTAAGCTTTTATATCTAAACTAAATCTGATGGATGCTTCTTCCCAGTAGCTTTTTTTTTTTTTTTTTTTTTTTGTCGTGGAGCCTGAACTCTGGGCCTGGGCGCTGTCCCTCAGCTCTTCATCTCAAGGCTAGCGTTTTACCACTTAAGCCTCAGCACCACTTCTGGCTTTTTCTGCTTATGTGGTGCTGGGGAATCAAGACCAGGGCTTCATGCGTGCAAGGAAAGCACTCTACCATTGAGCTAACTTCCCAGCCCCTCCAAATATCTTGAAGTCCATTCCTCTGTTCTTTTTATCTCTGCAGGGTTTTTTTTTTTTTATGGTCCCGGGATCTCACAGGATTAAGTAAACCCTCTAGAATGGTGGATGAGGCTGTGGTAGATACAGCCTTATCTTCAACCAGAGCCTCTTTATTGTTATTTTTGTTGTTAATTATTACATAATTGTAGAAAGAGGTTGCAAATACATACATGAGGTTACGAATACAGTGTTTTTAGTCAATGTTTACCCCTTCCATTATTCCCATTCTCTCCCTCTCATCCCTACCCTTAAATTGAGCCTATTATGAGCTTCCATTACCCATTTTGATAGCTCCAACCACAGTCCTTAATGACTTGAATTCATGAATGCACTGTCCACAAGATTCTTGCCTACTTGTGATTTCTTCCTTTGGACTCAAGCTCTGTTGTCGTAGTTGCCAGCTCTCTACATAGGCATTGCTGTTCACTTTTTCTTCTGTGATCCTGTAGCGTTTGGTTGACTTACCTTTTTCACTAGCCTTTCCGTTTTACTGTGGGCTTTCTAAGACCCAAGATTCTTTTTCTTTAGTCTTTTTTCACTATATAAATAGTGAATGAATAAGTCTAGTAGAAAATGTTGGATTGGGGGCTGGGAAGGTGGCTCAGTGGTAGAGCGCTTGCCTTGCATGCATGAGGCCCTGGGTTCGATTCCTCAGCACCACATAAGCAAAAAAGAAAAAAGCCGGAAGTGGCGCTGTGGCTCAAGTGGTAGACTGCTAGCCTTGAGCTGAAGCGCTGAGGGACAGCGCCCAGGCCCAGAGTTCAGGACCCACGACCGGACCCAAAAGAAAAAAAGAAAATGTTGGATTGTTTCTATATAAATGTGAGTTAATGGTTATTTTCACCTCGAGTTTTCATCTTCACACTTACTCCTTTGTTCTTCAGATGGTGGAGCCAGGGCAAGATCTACTACTTGCCGCTTTGAGTGAGAGTGGGATCAGTCCGAATGACCTCTTTGATATCGATGGTGGAGATGCAGGGATTGCCACTCCAACTCCTACCACGCCAGTGCAGCAGGTAAGAACTTTCCAAAGCCTCTACTAAACAGGAGGGACTTTTTTTAAACTTGTAATTTCCACTTATGGAAATGCGTACTATTAAATCTTAATTTGAAATATACATATAAAATTCTACTTTTAAGTTGATTATTTTTCCTCTTTCAAAGTGTAGAAGTAATTATAGTAAGAATCAAATATAATTCTCTGCTTTGTTATTATCATATATGTAAATATAAGAGATGGACTCTGTAGAGTTTTGAAGGTTATTAATTTTCTTACAGCTGTCTTTGTACTTTAGATGGACATATTTCTGTGAGTGTGCTTGCATGCGTGCACAGGGATTTGAACTCAAGGTCCTGTGCCCTTACTCAACTTTTTTTTCCGCTCACTGCCGGCACTCTACCACTTAAGCCTTGTTGGCAGTCTTCAACCTTCTACCATCAGATATCAGCCTCTTGAGCAGCTAGAATTACAGGTGGGAGCCACCAGCACCAGTATTAGTGTAGTTTTGGAGAGATTTTATGCTTGCAAAGATTGTTGGGTTTTATTTGGCGTAGGGATTTTACATTCAATTTTGAATGTAATGCTTGACCTTTTTTCCCTTTTTGGCCTTGTTCATGCTAGGCAGGGACCCTCCCACTGGAGCTGTACCCGTCTTATTTTTTTGTCTGCTTTTTAAATAAATGCAATACTTGCTATTCTTGTTCTTGAAACAGAATTCACTGCTGTCTTCCTCTATTTCTCTGTTGTTTTCTTCCCAGTCGGTGCCATTTAGTCCATTAGAGCTAGGTTTGGAGACAGAAGCAGCAGTTCCTGTTAAACAAGAGCCAGAGGCTGTACCTACTCCCGCACTGTTAAATGTGAGGGTAAGAGTTACTCAGATTTGCAATTACTTCTGAAAAAACCTAGGTTGATAGCAAGAATGTAATCTTTTAAAATATGAAAATTTTGTCTTATTTTTGTTTTTTGGTACTTTTTCAGTATCATACCCCGTCTCCTACTTTGTAAAACCTTTTTCTTTCACTCTCTTGGAACATAGGTGGATCACAAGGTAATTGGAACAGAATAAAATAATGTTGATCTTATTACAAGTCATAAACTTGACACAAAATTCTTGAAATAAAGATGAAATGGACATTATCCTGCTATTTTCATTTTTGCCTTTTTGTTGTACATTGGTATGTACAATTTTTATGTGATTGTAATTTTACTTTAAAGGTAGAATTCCTCTTACCTTTCCAAAAATGAGCAATTATTAACTAAAGACTAGTAGAATAAAAGTTTTAGAAACACTGGATATGTTTTGATAATTTGTACTATTATTAAGGGTTTATGTTTTAAAGTACTAAGTAGGGCTGGGAAGGTAGCTCAGTGGTAGAGCACTTACCTTGCATGCATGAGGCCCTGGGTTCGATTCCTCAGCACCACATAAGCAGGAAAAAAAAAAAAGCTGGAAGTAGTGCTGTGGCTCAAGTGGTAAAGTGCTAGCCTTGAGCTGAAGAGCTGAGAGACAGCGCCCAGGCCCAGAGATCAGGCCCCACGACCGGACCAAAAATAAATAAATAAAAAATAAAGTACTAAGTATAGCCCAGTGCTGGTAGCTCATGCCTGTAATCCTAGCTACTCAGGAGGTTGAGATCTGAGGATCCTGGTCCAGAGCCAGCCTGGGTAGGAAAGTCTGTTAGACTCTTATCTCCAATGAACCACCAGAAAACAGAACTGACACTGTGGCTCAAGTAGTAGAGTGCCAGCATTGAGTGAAAAAGCTAAGGAACAGTGCTCAGGCCCTGAGTTCAAGCCCCATGACCAAAGAGGAAAAAACTACTAAGTAGAAATACAAATTTTTAACTAAAGGAGTGGTATAGAAATATGTAGTTTGAGGAGAAAAGAAAAAAGTAGATTCAAATTTCTAAAACTGTCTCACTTGTACTAATAGTCACAGACATGGTATCTTCAAATAGGCATCTTCTTTCATTTCCTCTTGTTTGTTCCCCTGCCATCTCACCCTTTAATTGAAAATTGCTTTATGAGCCTGGCACTAGTGGCTCATGCCTGTTAATCCTAGCTCTGCCGGAGGCTGAGATGTGAAGATCATGCTTTGAAGCCAGCCCAGGCAAGAAAGACTCTTACCTTGAATAAAACTGCCAAGAAAGCAGATGGAGCTGTGACTCAAGTAGTAGAGCAACATCACTCACACACACACACACACACACACACACACACACACACACACACACACACACACACACACACACACACACACACACACACACACACGGCTTTGTCTATTTTTCCTGTCTTTTCATTTTTTTGTCGGTCGTGGGGCCTCAACTCTGGGGCCTGGGCTCTGTCCCTCAGCTCTTCAGCTGTGGACTAGCACTCTACCACTTGTGCCTCAGCCCCACTTCCAGCTTTTTCGAAATGCTTATATGGTGCTGAAGGATTGAACCGAGGACCTCATGCATGCAAGGCAAGAAGCACTCTACCACTGAGCTACCTTCCCTGCCCACCCCCCCCCTCTGTGTTTTTTGTTTAAGTGCTGAACGTTAGTGTAACCTGTATGGTAGCAAATGGCACAGTGAACAGGAATCTTGCAACGTTTGAAACTGAGAATTGGACTTAGGGGAGCCTGGATCTCCAGTTGGATGATTGACATACTTAGGGTTATCTACTTAGGGGTGGTTCTTTCTGTAACTAGTTTTCTTATTTTGATAACTGTAAATCACAGTTAGTGTTCCTTTATGCTTGATGATTATATAAAATGTCACCCTGCTTACTATATCTTTTTTTCCAAGTGGTAGGTTCTAACTTGGTAATTTAAAACTAATTGGAAATGAAGTGCCAATACACAAGAATAAAGCCAATTAAAACAATTTTTTTTAATGCCAGTATTGAGACTTGAGCTCAGGACCTTGTGTTCTTACTCAACTTTTTCACTGATATGTGGCGATCTACTACTTGACCTCAGTTTCCAGTTTTATCATTTTTCTCGTTAATTAAAAGATGAGTCGTGTGTGTGCATCTTTGTGTGCGTGTGTGCGTGCCAGTGCTGGGACTTGAAATCAGGGCCTGGGTACTGTCCCTGACCTGCTTTTGCTCAAGGCTAGCACTCTACCACTTGAGCCACATCACCACTTCAAAATGTGATCTTCAAGTCTCAATGTCCTCAATATATAGGTTTATAGGCATGAGTCATTGGCTTAGTTTTAGATTATTAAATGGCCTACCAAGTTTATTAGGTATACACTAGAGAAGAAGGCATTTTTCAATGTGTAAAATGTTTCATTTTCTTTTCTAGCAGCAGCCTCCATCTACTACGACATTTGTGCTGAATCAGATAAATCAACTTCCAGCCTTAGGATCTACAATTGTAATGACTAAAACACCACCTGTAACAACCAATAGGCAAACCATCACTTTAACAAAGTTTATCCAGACTACTGCAAACACACGCCCTTCAATCTCAGCACCAGTAGTCCGAAATGCCATGACTTCTGCACCTTCAAAAGACCAGGTTCAACTGAAGGACCTACTAAAAAATAATAGTCTTAATGAACTTATGAAATTGAAACCACCTGCCAATATTGCTCAGCCAGTTGCAACAGCAGCTAGTAAGTATTTTTCAGTGTCAGCTTTTTTCTGTGATAAGTTATATCAAGGTGATATTTTGTTTAGCATTTATTTCTGGCCTTTTTGGTGATTAATTGGGGATAAGAGTCTTAAAGCCTTTGCTACCAGTGCTGGCATCAAACCTCAAACCTCAGATTTGAACCACCTGAGTAGCTAGGATTACAAGTGAGAGCCCCTAGAGCCCCCTTTTTTTTCTTTAAATGAGCTGAATGAAATGTCTTAAGTAATGTTGGCCTTTGGCATTTGTAAATTATTAAATAGTTCTGATTATGGTATCCTGCTCATTGGTAAGTTTTAAGTTCCCAGGCATACACATTTGTTTTCTAAATATAATTTCTGTGTGTGTGCATGCATGCATGTGCAGGTCCTGGGTCCTTGAACTCAGGGACTGGGCGCTGTTCTTGAGCCTCTTTGTGCTCAAGGCTAGCGTTCTATCACTTGAGCCACAGTGCCACTCCCAACTTTTTTGAGTAAGTTATTGGAGATAAGAGTCTCACAGACTTTTCTGGCTTTGAACCTTGATCCTCAGCTCTCAGCCTTCTGAGTAGCTAGGATTATAGGCGTGAGCCACTGGCACCCAGCTCAACTTATTCTCTCTCTTTTTTTTTTTTGGTCAGTTGTAGGGCTTGAGCTCTGGGCCTGGGCTCTGTCCCAGTGCTCTACCACTTGAACCAAGTGCCACTTTCGGTTTTCTGGTGGTTAATTGGAGATAAGAGTCTCTCGGACTTTCCTGCCTCTCATCCTCCTGAGTAGGGTTATAGGCATGAGCCACTGGCACCCCACCCAGCCAGCTATGTGTTTTTAAAGAATGAATAGTGGGGTGTCGGTGGCTCACACATTAATCCTAGTTACTCAGGATGCTGACATCTGATGATCACGGTTCAAAGCCAGCCTGGGTAGGAAAGTCGGTGAGACTCTTATTCCAATTAGCCACCAGAAAACCGGAAGTGGCACTGTGTCTCAGGTGGTAGAGCACTCACCTTGAGCTGAAAGAGTTCAGGTAAAGATCCCAAATCCAGGGTTCAAGCCCCACAACTGACAAAAAAAAAAAAAGAAAAAAGAAAAGGACAGCTTTTTTGGGAATGTGGCTTAGTGGTAGAGAGCTTGCGTAACATGCATGAAACCATGGGTTCAATTCCTCAGAACCAACACAAACAGAAAAAGCTGGAAGTAGTGCTGTGGCTCAAGTGGTAGAGTGTTAGCCTTGAGCAAAATAAGCTCAGGGACAGTACCCACGCCTGGCAAAAAAAAAAGAAAAAAAAACACATAGCTTTGAATGTTTTCATACTTATATGTAGCATTGAAAAAATTATATCCTTCGGTTTTTGAAATGGGTAAATTAATGAATTTTCTTTCTTTCTTTCTTTCTTTCTTTTTTTTGTCGGTTGTGGGGCCTGAACTGTGGGCCTGGGTGCTGTCTCTAAGCTCTTCAGCTCAAGGCGAGCATTCTGCCATTTGAGCCACAGTGCCACTTGTTTTTTTCTGCTTATGTGGTGCTGAGTAATCGGACTCAGGGGCCTCATGCATGAGAAGCAAGCACTCTACCACTGAGCCACCTTCCCAGCCCCAAATTAATGAACCTTTAAACTGCAGGAAAAATCTTGAGATTTTTGTTGTAAAATGTAAACTGATTTCTCCCCTTAGCTGATGTAAGCAATGGTGCAGTAAAGAAAGAGTCTTCTAATAAAGAAGTAGCAAGAATATGGATAAATGACATGAAAATGAGGAGTTTTTCCCCAACCATGGTGAGTTTTCAACAGGGTATTTTTTGTTCATGTAATGTAGAACATTTGACGAAAAGTGCTTCAGAACAACCTTCAGAAAACATTTTTTTTTTACATCTTAGAATAGAGGGTAGGAAATTAACTGAGGGAGGCAGATGATGAAAAGAGAAATGGTGGAAGAACACACAGTATGCATACTTGAAGACCTTCCTAGGAAACTTGAGGTGAGCTGAAAAAGATGAGGAACAGGATGGGGAGGGGTGACTGAAGGTGCATTTACACACAAATCATCAAGTCAGAGTGAAACCCCTTTGTGCAACTATTCGAAGAAAACCACATTTTATCAAGGATTTATTTAATATAGCAATGTTAAAGAGGACAAAATGGATTAGAGAAACCTTCATAAGACTGAGTGGAGGGGTGTCATGAACCAATGTGAAACTTAAATGTCACATGATGCACTGAATGGAATGACTAAGAATGTGTGTACTTGATGGGAAGCGGTGTAGTATTACATGTAGTACTTACATGTTGTTACAAATGTTACTTGAGCAGGAAAAGAAGACAATGTAAAGTTAACTGAAAAATTTTGGTAACTATTGTTTAGAATTGAACCTGTAGTATATCTACTATGAGCTCTATGATATAAAATACTTAATTATGTAATCAATTTTTTTTTTTTTTTTTGGTAGTGGGGCTTGAACTCGGCCTAGGTGCTATCCCAGAGCTCTTCAGCTCAAAGGGAGTGCTTTATCTCTTGAGCCACAGGGCCACTCCGTTTTTTCTGGTGGTTTATTGGAAACAGTAGTCTCACAGACTTTCCTGCCTGGGGTACTTTGAACCATGATCCTCAGATCTCAGCCTCCTGAGTAGCTAGGATGATAGGCACAAGCCACCAGCACCCAGCTAATCAATTTTTTCCTTAAGCTTTCTTTAAGTTTTGAAACTGCTATATGGCTTATGTCAATTCTATACATTTATTTAATTACTTTGAATAGCTATATATAATTGATTTTTATAAGAAGTATACTATGAGTCCTCTTTCAATAAATATCAAATGTGATAACTATCTGTATTAAATAACAGTGTAAGATACATCAAAAAAGCTGTTTAAAGCCAGCTTGGGCAGGAAAGTCCATGAGACTTTTTTTTTTTTTGATTGGTCGTGGGGCTTGAACTCTGGGCTTGGGTGCTGTCCCTGAGTGCTTTAGCTCAAGGCGAGTACTCTACTGCTTGAGCCACAGCGCCACTTCTGGTTTTCTAGTGGAAAGATAAGAGTCTCATGGACTTTCCTTGCTTGGACTTTCCTTGCCTGGGCTGGTTTTGAACCGTGATCCTCAGATCTCAGCCTCCCGAGTAGCTAGGATTACAGACATGAGCCACCAGCGCCCAGCCCTCCATGAAACTCTTATCTCCAATAAACCACCAGAAAACCAGAAGTGGTGCTGTGGCTCAAAATGGTAGAGGGCTCGCCTTGAGCGCAGGGACAGCACCCAAGCCCAGAGTTCAAGCCCCGTAACTGACAACAACAACAGCAACAACAAACCAAACTAGTATGATATAGCACAGGTTGCATAGGTTGAGTTTGGAGGAAGGTGAAGCTTCTTCCAAGAATGCCCCAATATGGAGGTGTGTGGCTGGGGTTTTTTATATGGGGAGAATTGCAGGCATTTTTTGGAAGACAATTTGTAATTCACAGTGAAGAGGTGATGACTGTGCTTAGATGATATATCAGGAAGAAGTCTCAGGGTAGGCCTTGGGGATTGTGGAGGATCCTGAATTGACCTTCCTGGACTTTGGCTTGCTGTAGTCCCTGTGAGGAGCCACTAGAAGTAGAGTTAGGAGAGCCATCCATGATTCAAGTTGGATGAGTTCAAAACCAGGTGGATGGAGGTTCCATACTAATGGAAGAGAGGGTTAAGAGGGGACTATAGCCAGGCGCCTGTAATCCTAACTACTCAGGAGGCTGAGATCCGAGGACTGTGGTTCAAAGCCAGTCCGGACATGAAAGTCTGTGAGACTCTTATATCCAATAAACCTCTAGAAAACTGGAAATGGCGCTGTGGCTCAAGTGGTAGAGTGCTTGCCTTGAGCTGAAGAGCTCAGGGACAGCCTCCAAGCCCAGAGTTCAATCCCTATGACTGACCAAAAAAAAAAAAAAGGGACTACGGTAGCATAGTTGTTAGAGGAAATTTGAAAGTAGTGAGGAGGAAAAAGGAAAAGAGACAAATGAGAAACGATTGACACAAGCAATTCCAAAGGATTGCAGGCAGGCCTGAGGTTTTAAACAGGCGTAGAGATAAATGATGGAACATCTGGTTTATTTAGTGGTCATGTATTGGTAATATTTGGATGTGTGTGTGTGTGTGTGTGTGTGTGTGTGTGTGTGTGTGTGTGTGTTTTGTTGGTTGTGGGACTTGAACTCTGGGCCTGGGCTGTGTCCCTGAGCTCTTCAATTCAAGGCGAAAGGCGAGTGCTCTATGGCTTGAACCACAGTGCCACTTCCAGTTTTCTAGTGTTTTTTTTTTGGACTTCCTGCCTGGGCTGGCTTTGAACCACAATCCTCAGATCTCAGCCTCTTGAGTAACTAGTATTACAGGCATGAGCAACCGGTGCCTGGCTAGCAGTTCTTCCTTGAACCTAGGTTTGGAGAATAAATTCTGAGGCCATGTTATTGTTATGTCTATGGAGACACCGAAAACCTAGAGTTTCTAAGCTTTAGATGAGATTTGAAGAAAAGACAGGTAGAGGTGTATTAAAAAGGAACTAGAAATAGAGCTGTGGCTTAAAGGGTAAGAGCACTAGACTAGCATCCAACTTCAAGCCCCACTACCAACAACAAAAATAAAAAAAGGGCTGGAAATAAGACTTAGTGGTAGAGTGCTTGCCTATCATGCATGAAGCCCTGGATTCCATTTCTCAGTACCATATACAGAGATAAAGCTGGAAGTGGTGCTATGGTTCAAGTGGTAGAGTGCCAGCCTTGAGCACTGAGAGGCTTAGGGACAGTGACCAGGCTCTGAGTTCAATCCCCAGCAATAAATGAAATGAAATATAAAAAGAAAGTGGGAGACTTAGGTTTTACCAGGCTGAGCTTTGGCCTCCTCACCTGTTACCCTCATGCTCCTTGCTGTGTCTGGTTTTGGAAGAAGACTGAGGTCTAAATGGACATCAGGAAGGCAGTATTGAGAGGGAAAGTAGTTAGGCATGGTGGGGCTGAAAGGAATGGAGCCCTGCCTGACTTGTTTGTGAGTAAGGGACAGGTAGGTCTCTATTGTTCGCATTTACCATTAGAGAAGCAGGAGCCACATCAAGTGGATTGGAAAGTTATGCAAATAGTGCCTCAGGTTCCTAAGATTGAAGATTGTAAGCATTCCTCTGTGTTGGCCAGGCCCTCATCCCTGAACTTGAGGTTGATTGCATTTTCTGTATTACAGAAGGTTCCTGTTGTTAAAGAAGAAGATGAGCCAGAGGAAGAAGATGAAGAAGAAATGGGTCATGCAGAAACCTATGCAGAGTACATGCCAATAAAATGTATGCCTTTGAAAAATCTGTCAAAACAACAGGTTCCTCTGGGCTAGGACTCTTATCCCTTAGCTTTTAATTTAGCTCAGGGCTGGCCCTCTAACATAAGAGTCACAACTCCTTCAGAAATTTATAATCTTGTTTTAGATTGAAGACCATTGAAGACCAAGACTAAAGCTTAGATTTCATTATGTCATGTTCATTTTTATCATATAAGTAAAAGCCAAAGCAAATTGTAGAGATATTCTATCTTAACCTTATATGGTTTGCTTTGTTCATCTAAAATCATAAAAACGTCAGAATTTAAACAAATAACTACTTGAATTTATTACCACCAGTTCTGCTTTTTGTGTAATTGTAGTATTGGTTTCTGTGAAAAGACACTAATAATTAAAATTGCATTAGAAATCTCTGCTTGTCAATAGACTCCAAAATGGTATCTTTTCCTAGATCTCAAGTTTACATATGAGATTGCATCAAACTAGACAAACAGTAACTTGTATGAAAGCTCCAGTACGTTTTCTCTGTCATAGTGAAAGTGTTATATTTTAGAAGACTGGAAATGTAGAAAGATTAAAATGGACATTTAAAATTTTTCATTTAGTAAAAATTGGCCTGCGTCACCCAGATGCTGTAGTGGAAACTAGCTCTTTATCCAGTGTCACTCCTCCTGATGTTTGGTACAAAACGTCTATTTCTGAAGAAACGATTGATAATGGCTGGCTATCTGCATTACAGCTTGAGGCAATTACATATGCAGCCCAGGTAATTCATAATTTCATTTAATGGTTCTTTATTTTAGTCCACTAATAAAGGTGTTTACTTGAAAGGTGAAGTTTCCTTTAATGAAACATTTCTGACTGTTATTTAAAATTTTTTCTTAAATTATCTTTAAGTACTGTACAAAGATGTTCCCATTTTACAAAACAGTATATGAATACAAGATATCTGACAACATTGTCACCCATCGCTCCTAACCCCGAATGTGATTTTTGTTTTTTGTTTTTGTCGGTCATGGGGCTTGAACTCTGGGCTTGGGTGCTGTCTCTGCACTCTTCAGCTCAAGGCAAGCACTCTACTGCTTGAGCCACAGCACCACTTCTGGTTTTCAAGTGATTTATTGGAGATGAGTCTCAAGGACTTTCATGCCCGGCTGGCTTTCAACTGCAATCCTCAGATCTCAGCCTCCTGAGTAGCTAGGAATATAGGCATGAGCCACCAGCCCTCGGCTGGATCTGATTTTTTTTTTTTTTTTTTGGTTGGTCCTGGGGCTTGAACTCTGGGCCTGAGCACTGGCCCTGCGCTCTTCAGCTCAAGGTGAGCGCTCTACCACTTGAGCCACAGCACCACTTCCGGTTTTCTGGTGGTTTATTGGAGATAACAGTTTCATGGACTTTCCTGCCTGGGCTGGCTTTGAACGGAGATCCTCAGATCTCAGCCTCCTGAGTAGCTAGGATTATAGGCATGAGCCACTGGCACCCGGCTGGATGTGATTTTTTTTTTTTTTTTTGGTTGTGGGGCTTGAACTCTGGGCTTAGGCACTGTACCTGCGCTCTTCAGCTCAAGGCGAGTGCTCTACTGCTTGAGCCATAGCACCACTTCCAGTTTTCTAGTGGTTTATTGGAGATAAGAGTCTCATGGACTTTCCTGTCCGGGCTGGCTTTGAACCTCGATCCTCAGATCTTAGCCTCCTGTGTAGCTAGGATTGCAGGTGTGAACCACCGGTACCCGGCTCCAGCTGGGTATACAGGCATCATATATTTCCCTCTAAAGTGCCATGTACTAAAAAGCTATTGACAAGTGGTGAAGAGTCTTCCATATTCTTTTCAAACTTTATGTAATGAAATGCAACTTACATCATATATTATAGTGGGTAGCTGGCTATTTAGGTCATTACTTATTTTACAGAAATGGAATATGACAAGAACAACTGATCTAACTCTAGCTCACATAATATTTTTACTCACATAGTATTTTAGCTCACATAGTATTTTTACTTGGCTAGGTATTGGTGGCTCATGTCTGTAATCCCAGCTACTCAGGAGGCTGAAATCAGAAGGTCTGCAGTTGAAAGGTAGACCAGTTAGTGAAGTCCTTAGGACCCCAGCTCCAAAGAACCAGCAAAAAGCCAGGCTGAAGGCAAAGTGGTAGAGTGCCCCCTGAGTGAGTTAACAAGATGAGTAAGCGTAAGGCTTTAAGTTCACCAATATACTCAGAAAAGACCAAATCTTATGCCGATTATGTAAAAGCGGTATCAGTATGATTCTTAAACTGTATATTCAAGATGAATTGATGTCTATGAAGGATTAATTACCAGTTTTTCTTTTTTAGCAACATGAAACATTCCTGCCTAATGGAGATCGTGCTGGCTTCTTAATAGGTGATGGTGCTGGTGTAGGGAAAGGCAGGACAATAGCAGGGATCATCTATGAAAATTACTTGTTGAGTAGGAAAAGAGCCCTGTGGTAAGTGCCAGGGACTTTCCTTTGTACATACTTCATCATGTGGAAATGGGTTTAAGCATATTTTTGTTATTATTATTAAGGAATTGTAAGAAGGGGTTATGTTTTTTATTGTGAGAATACTGTACAGAGGAGGGTTACAATTACATGAGCAAGGTAATGAGTACATTTCTTATCAAGTGTTGGCTTCTGTCTCTTTTGTTTTTCCCCTACCATCCCTGCCCTCCCATCTCCATGACTACACTCCTCCCCTCCCCCTCCCCCTGCCCCGCCCTGCCCCAGTGTATTTTTTAAAGTGTGAAGACCTGGCTTTATTCTTGAATTCTGTAGAATGATGTAATTTTATTTTTTAAATTTCAGGTTTAGTGTTTCCAATGACTTAAAGTATGATGCTGAAAGAGATTTGAGGGATATTGGAGCAAAAAACATTTTAGTCCATTCATTAAATAAGGTATGAGCTGCATTGTGTTGAGTTGGCCATTCAGTATTGATGCCTTCATGATGGAGTCAGTTTCCACTGTACAGTTGTGGTGAGGGTTAAGTGAGTTTCTCGACAGGAAGTCCAGCAGGTGTTTTTTTTTTTTTTTTGGCGGTCATAGGGCTTGAGCTCTGGGCCTGGGTGCTCTCCTTCAGCTCTTTTTTTTGGGGGGGGAGGGGTTGGTCGTGGGGCTTGAACTCTGGGCCTGGGTACTACCCCTCAGCTCTTCAGCTCAAGATGAACACTCTACCACTTGAGCCACAGCGCCACTTCCAGTTTTCTAGTGGTTTATTGGAGATAAGAATCTCATGGAGTTTCCTGCCTGGGCTAGCTTTGAACCACGATCCTCAGATCTCAGCCTTCTGAGTAGCTAGGATTATAGGCGTGAGTCATCTGTGCCAGCCAGTGCTTGATATTTCTGCTGATGTGAAGGTTACTTTATGCCAAATATCATGCTAGGCAGTGCTGATGTTTTGGCAGACAGATAAGAAGTGTCCCTCTTATAATGGAATTATTTTTCAGTCTTTTTTTTCCCTTCTAGAATTGGACTATCATTAGGCACTTGAATACTGTTAATTGTATAAAGAATTACTGTGATTTGGAGTCTGTTCCCTGTATTTGTTTACCTAATGGGTTTAAATATCTCTACAATTTTCATGTGGAAAAAGTTTCATATAGGGGAAGAAAATGAGTGTCGAGTGTCTAAAACAATTTGTGATTATTAGTAGTTTAATGTTCACTTAACAAACCTCTATTGACATACTGTTCACCTATTCTTGCTTGTCTAGATAAAACTGACATACCTTTTAGTGTCTCCCTGTTAGTACTCTACCACGTGAGCCACAGCGAACCTTCCACCTTTTTCTAAGTAGTTTATTGGAAATAAAAATCGCGTAGACTTTCCTGCTTGGGCTAGAACTCACTCTTTTAAAATTTCTCAGAAATTATGGGCTGGGAATGTGGCTTAGTGGTAGAGTGCTTGCCTAGCATGCATGAAGCCCTGGGTTGGACTCCTCAGTACATATACACCAAAAAGGCAGGAAGAAGAGGCACTATGGCTCAAGTGGTAGAGTGTTAGCCTTGAGCAAAAGAAGCTCAGGGACAGGGCACAAACCCTGAGTTCAAGCCCCATGCCTGGGGGGGAAAAATCCCAGAAATTAAAAGTAAATTTAATTAAAGGGCATGTTAACTATTTATAATTTTTTACATATTCCTCAATTTAACCATAATGTTTTGCATATAATAAGAGCACATAAACATTTGTAGAACAAGTATTGTGACTTACAGGAGAGTTTGATTTTTAAATTTTTAGATTCTTTTTCTTTCTTTTTTTTTTTTTTTTTGGTCCGGTTGTGGGGCTTGAACTCTGGGCCTGGGGTGCTGTCCCTCAGCTCTTCAGCTCAAGGCTAGCGCTCTACCACTTGAGCCATAGTGCCACTTCCGGCTTTTTTCTTTTTGCTTATGTGGTGCTGAGGAATCAAACCCAGGGCCTCACGCACGCAAGGCAAGCGCTCTACCACTGAGCTACCTTCCCAGCCCTGCTAGTAAATTTTTATTGAGACTTTGAAAACTGCATCTTGTACTGCAAGGTTCTCTGTGTATACATATATAGGAAATGTTGTTGGTCTTTTTAGGGGTCATTGTCACTTTTCTAACCTGTCATGAGAATACCTAGTTAAGAAGTCATGCTACAGAATGTTTCTGAGAAAAACATACTAATTAAATTCTTCTTTCCTTTTTTCAGTTTAAATATGGAAAAATTTCTTCCAAGCATAATGGGAGTGTGAAAAAGGGTGTTATTTTTGCTACCTATTCTTCCCTTATTGGTGAAAGTCAGTCTGGTGGTAAATATAAAACTAGATTAAAACAACTTCTACACTGGTGTGGTGATGACTTCGATGGAGTTGTATCCTTTAATAAATGAATGTGTGTTCTCTAACCTTAAGTCTTGAACCTGGCAAGGTCATTGTCCTGGCATTGAGTTTAACTTGCTGTTTCTTTTCTTTCTTTTTTTTTTAAAAAAACTTCCATTCTACTGTGAATAAATTGTGTGGAGTGAGCATGTAACTGATTATAGTTCCAGGGGCCTGGTAACTTACTCTGTTTATATCTGGCACATAGAAGATGGTATTAAGTACCTGCGTTAGAAAATTTTAGCAAGGCAGTTGGAAATGTGGCTTAGTGGTAGAGTGTTTTCCTAGCATTCATGAAGCCCTGGTTTCGATTCCTCAGTGCCACATAAACAGAAAAAGCCAGAAGTGGTGCAGTGGCTCAAGTGATATAGTGCTAGCCTTGAGCAAAACAAGCTCAGGAACAGCTCCCGTGCCCTGGGTTGAAGCCCTATGACTCCCCCCCACCAAAAAAAATACATTAGCAAGCTGGATTCTGGTGGCTAAAGCCTGTAATCTTAGCTACTCAGGAGGCTGAGATCTGAGGATCATGTTCAAAGTCAGCCTGGGCAGGAGAGTCCATGAGACTCATCTCCAGTTAACCATCAGAAAACAGCAAGTGACACTGGCTCAAAGTGGTAGAGCATTGGTCTTGAGCAAAAAAGCTCAGTGACAGCATCCAGGCCCTGAGTTCAAACTCCACATCCAACAACAAAAAAAAAGGTATGGGGAGATTTGATTATTCATTTCCCATGCGAAGATTCAGATACTGGTTAAATTTCTGGCCAATTATGTACTGTATATAGAATTTATCAAAATAATCTGTGCTGGACTGATTCATTAGATCTAAAGAATCCAATAGGCAGAGAGGTATCAAAGTCAGTGGGTATCTCAGATCCTAAATGAGAAAAGACAGAACGGAGGAAAGATGGATGTGTATGATCCAAAGAAAAAAACAGCCAGGCGCTGGTGCTCACACCTGTAATCCTAGTAGCTACTCAGGAGGCTGAGATCTGAGGATCCGGGTTCAAAGCTAGCCCTGGCAGGAAATTCTCTGAGACTCTTTTTTTTTTTTTTTTTTTTTGGGTCCGGTCGTGGGGCCTGAACTCTGGGCCTGGGCACTGTCCCTCAGCTCAAGGCTAGTGCTCTACCACTTGAGCCACAGCGCCACTTCCGGCTTTTTTCTTTTTTTGCTTATGTGGTGCTGAGGAATCGAACCCAGGGCCTTGAGCATGCAGGGCAAGTGCTCTACCACTGAGCCACCTTCCCAGCCCCTCTCTGAGACTCTTTTTTTTTTTTTTTGGTCAGTCGTGGGGCTTGAACTCTGGGCCTGGGTGCTGTCCCTCAGCTCTTCAGCTCAAGGCGAGCGCTCTACCACTTGAGCTACAGCGCCACTTCCGGTTTTTGTGGTGGTTTATTGGAGATAGGAGTCTCACGGTCTTTCCTTCCCGGGCTGGCTTTGAACTGCGATCCTCAGATCTCAGCCTCCTGAGTAGCTAGGATTACAGGCGTGAGCCACCAGCACCCGGCTGTCTCTGAGACTCTTATCTCCAATTAACCACCAGAAAACTGTAAGTGGCGCTGTGGCTTAAGTGATAGAGCACTGGCCTTGAGCTGACGAGCTCAGGGACAGTACCCAGGCCTAGAGTTCAAGTCCCACAACTGACCAAAAAAAAAAAAAAATGCAACCTGAAGGCTTCAGGGAAATGCTGACTGCTCTTGAAAGTTTGCAGACACTACTCCTTAACTCTGTGTTTACAGATAGTGTTCGATGAGTGTCATAAAGCAAAAAACTTATGTCCTGTTGGTTCTTCAAAACCAACCAAGACAGGGTTGGCAGTTCTAGAGCTTCAGAACAAATTGCCAAAGGCCAGAGTTGTCTACGCTAGTGCCACTGGTGAGTTAGTTATCTAATTAAAAAGGTATGTGTATATTATTTTTGCAGCTATAATATATTGGGGGATTTTCCAGGTGCTTCTGAACCTCGCAACATGGCCTATATGAACCGTCTTGGAATATGGGGTGAAGGAACTCCATTTAGAGAATTCAGTGATTTCATTCAAGCAGTGGAGCGCAGGTAAAGCACTCTGTTCTCAGTAGCAGTCTAAGAGATATGTTCCTGCCAAAACTCTTGTCATTTTGTGTTCAAGTCCTACTTTATTTATTGATCGTTACTGTGTGTTTTAATTTTATTCAGAGGTGTTGGTGCCATGGAGATAGTTGCTATGGACATGAAACTCCGAGGCATGTACATTGCTCGACAGCTTAGCTTTACCGGAGTGACCTTCAAAATCGAGGAAGTTCTTCTTTCACAGAGCTATGTTAAAATGTATAACAAAGCAGTGAAGCTGGTGAGAAATGTTTGGAAATTCCTAATGTTTTAATGTTTTGAAGGTATTTCTTTTAGTTTTGTCCATTATAGTGTCAGGATGCATTTTTGCTGTGAAACCCAAATTACCGTTTTGCTTTATTGAATAATTCATGCTTAGCACCCTTTGTTTCATTCACATGTTATTTTTCAAAAATTGCATCAGATAGTAAGGATTTGGAGATAACTGTATGCACTGGGAGTTACTAAGTTACTGTAGACTGAATCATGGGTCAGTTCTAAATAACTGAATTCAAAGATGAAATGCCTAAAATGTGGACTGTATGTCTTCAGTGGGTCATTGCAAGAGAGCGGTTTCAGCAAGCTGCAGATTTGATGGATGCTGAACAGCGGATGAAGAAGTCCATGTGGGGTCAGTTCTGGTCTGCTCACCAAAGGTTTTTCAAGTACTTGTGCATAGCATCCAAAGTTAAAAGGGTTGTGCAACTTGCCCGAGAAGAAATCAAGAATGGAAAAGTAAGTTGGAAGAACACATTAAGAAAATTCAGATTTTTATGAGAGTGGTGTTTTTCTTTTTCTTTTTTTCTTCTTTCTTTTTTTTTTTTTTTTTTTGTGGTCATGGGGATTGAACTTTTGGCTCGGGCACTGTCCCTCAGCTCTTCAGCTCAAAGCTAGCACTCTACCACTTGAGCCACAGCACCACTTCTCATTTTCTAGTGGTTTATTGGAAATAAGAGTTTCATGGACTTTCTTACCTGGGCTGGCTTTGAACCACAATTCTCAGATTTCAGCCTCCTGAGTAGCTAGGGTTATAGGCCTGAGCCACCGATGCCCAGCTTTAATCTGGTATTCCTAAAGGCTAATTGTAGACATAATAATGTGATAAGATTTTAAATACACTTTTTTGAGAATGTAGATAGAAAGTACGTTTAGAAAATTGAGAGAATAAGCAGCATCTGTTTAATGTGGTCATCCATAGCTGCCAACACTGGTTTCCTGTGCATTTGACCTTAAAGTTGGTTTTTGGTAAACATGTATGTACTAAAACATCCTTTGTGAGGGTGAGATATTAGTTATGCATATTATTATAAACTAGTCTTAAGTTTTTGTTGCATCATATATCTTAAATATAATAAATGAAGCATACATATGGTTTAATGTTGTCATTCTTTGAAATTGGTTAAAAAATGGTTTTTACTAAATACTTGAAATGTGTTTTTATTATTCTTTATTTCCCATCAACATATTCTCCTCTAGTGTGTTGTAATTGGTCTGCAGTCTACAGGAGAAGCTAGAACTTTAGAAGCCTTGGAAGAGGGTGGAGGAGAACTAAATGATTTTGTTTCAACTGCCAAGTAAGGTTTTAATTTTGTGGTTTTTTATATTTATTTTATTTATTTATTTATTTCCTTGAGGTGAAATTTTTATTCACTTACTAAAAAGCTTTTCTGGCCATGTACTGGTAGCTCATGCCTATAATGCTAACTTCTTTAGAGGCTGAGATTTTAGGATTGTAACTCAAAGCCAGCCTGGGCTGGAAAGCCTGTGACACTCGTTCTCTACTTAACCACCACAGCCATTAGTAGAGCTCTGTCTCAAGTGGTAGCGTGCCACCCTTGAGCAGAAAAGGTTTTGTCTGCCAGGTGCCAGTAGCTTACAACTATAATCCTTCGTACTCAGGAAGCTGAGGTCTGAGGATTTGCCCTTCAAAGCCAGCCCAGAAAAAGAAGTTCCCATGAGACTCAACTCCAATAAACCACTCAAAAACTAGAAGTGGCACTGTGGCTCAAAGTTTGTAGAGCACTAGCCTTGAGCTGAATTGCTCAGGGATAGCGCTCAGGCCCAGAGTTCAAACCCCACCAAAAAAAAAAAAAAGGAAGAAAAGCTTGTGTCTGAGTTTTTGCAGTCTGTGCTTTCTTGTGTAATCGTGTATCAGGAAGCAATAGTGCAGAAAGATATCATACTGAAATGTTCAACATTTTGTCCATATTAACAAGCACGTGGACTGATAGAAGGACTTGATAATGTATTTATTGGGAACTACAGTACTGTGCTTTAATTGTAGTTTCAGTTTTATGTTTTCCAGAACATTAAATCCAGTGCACTCCAGTATAACCAACTCTATAAACGTAACTAGCAGATTTAAAGCTGGAATTCTAGTAGAAAAAATTATCAGCACAACCTTTACCATCATACTACTTCTTGCCTGTATAATTGAAAACTTCTTTGGAAGAGTGAAAAACATAGTGGATATGTTGGCAAATGGCTCAAGTTAGAGGCAGGAAGTACATGGTCAGCTAGGGTAAATGTTGCAAAGAGGGCTGGGGTGTAGCTCAGTGACAAAATGCTTGTCTAGCAGGTACAGCACTCCAGGTCCAATACCTAGTATCATTTTTTTTTAAAAATGCAAAAACCTTACTTTAAGGTGAAATAAGAAACGAGGGGCTGAGAAGGTGGCTCAGTGGTAAAGCGCTTGCCTTGCGTACATGAGGCCCTGGGTTCGATTCCTCAGTACCACATAAGCAGAAAAAGCGGAAGTGGTCTTGTAGCTCAAGTGGTAGAGCACTAGCCTTGAGCTGAAGAGGTGAGGGACAGTGCCCAGGCCCACAGTTCAGGACCCACAACTGAAAAAGATCATAATTCAAAACCAGTTCAAGAGGAGGAATGTTAATCCCCCCCTCCCCCCCTCCCCGCCCTAGCTCACCTCGCCTCCTTCAGTCATAAGGTTTGAAATCAGGTCCTGGGCACTGTCCGAAGCTCCTTTTGTTCAGAGCTAGTGCTATACCACTTTGAGCCATAGTTCCACTTTTATGGTGTTTCATTGGAGATAGGAGGCTCTCAGTTTTATCTACCCAGATTGGCTTTGAACCATGATCCTCAGATCCTCAGCCTCCTGAATAGCTAGGATTACAGTCATCAGTGGCACCACCAGTGCCCAGCTGGGTTTCACGTATATTTTGTTGCTTATTATTATTTTGGTGGTGGTGGTGGTGGTGGTTGTTTGGCTTTAAGTCTGGCCCTGGGTGCTGTCCCTGAGCTCTTCAGCATAAGGCCCGTGCTCTACAACCTTGAGCCACAGCACCACTTCCAGTTTTGTGGTGGCTAATTGGAGATAAGAGTCTCACGGACTTTTCCTACCTGGGCTGGCTTTGAACCATGATCTTCAGATCTATTACTATGAGATTGGGGCTTAATATATTGCCCAGGCTAGTGTTGAACTCATTTTGACATTTTCACTCCAGGTTTCAAAGTGGCTGCAACTATAGTAATGTGCTGTGATATGCTCTGTTCTCTTTGAAAGTTTTTTTTGGGGGGGTCAGTCATGGGGCTTGAACTCTGGGCCTGGGCGCTGTCCCTGTGCTCTTTAGCTCAAGGCAAGCGCTCTACCACTTGAGCCACAGCTCCACTTCCAGTTTTCTAGTGGTTTATTGGAGATAGGAGTCTCATGGACTTTCCTGCCCGGCCTGGCTTTGAACCTCGATCCTCAGATCTCAGCCTCTTGAGTAGCTAGGATTATAGGCTTGAGCCAGCGGCACCAGCTTGAAAGTTTTTAATATAGTTTCTAAAAATAATAAAAATTGCATATGTACCTTGGCTTATATTATATTTCAGACAGGGTTGGCCTAGAAAATTACAAATGAGTTGAGCTGGGTTATAGTATTTTTTAGATTGAATAAATTATATTTCTCTTAATGAAATATATCCAGTACAGCTGGGTGTCAATGGCTTATATATGTAATTCTAGATACTCAGGAGGCTGAGATCTGAGGATCATGGTTCAAAACCAGCCTGGCCACAAAATTCTGTGAGATTCTTTATTTCCAGTTAACCTCAAGAACTTTGGAAGTGATGCTGTGATTTGAAGTGGTAGAGTACTAGCTTGAGTGAAAAAGCCCAGGGACAGCGCTCAGGCCCAGAATTCAAGCCCTATGTCCAAAAAAAAAAAAAAAGGAAAGATATCCAGTAAGATTTTTTTATTTTGCTAATCCTTAAATTTAAACTCGGCCTGGGCTCTATCCCTGAGCTTACTTTGCTCAAACCTAGCAATCTACCACTTGAGCCACAGCCCCAATTCTGGCTTTTTCTGTGTGTGTGGTACTGAGGAATCGATCCCAGGGCTTCATGTTGCTAGGCAAGCACTTCACCACTAAGCCACATTCCCAGCCCTCCAGTAAAACTCTTATATGCAATTTTTCTTTTATCCAGTGAGCCAGTAACTGTTATTATTTTTCTCCAACAGAGGGGTGCTTCAGTCACTCATTGAAAAACATTTCCCTGCTCCAGACAGGAAAAAACTGTATAGTTTGCTAGGAATTGATCTGTCAGCTCCAAGCAACAACAGTTCACCAAGAGATAGTCCTTGTAAAGAAAATAAAATAAAGAAGCGGAAAGGTGAGTGGTACTTGTGTTTTAAATTAAAACTGGCACAGTTCACTGGTGCTGGCACACTGGGGAAGCCTACAGTAGCTACACATTGAATCATTTTGACCAACTTACAGATCCTTAGGAGATTAGTTCTTATTTTTTCAGCTTTTTTTTTTTTTTGTCGTGGGGCTTGAACTGTGGGCCTGGATGCCATCCCTTAGCTCTTCAGCTCAAGGCTAGTGCTCTACTACTTAAGCCACAACAGCACCACTTCTGGTTTTCTGGTGGTTTATTGGAGATAAGAGTCTCAGTCTCAGGGCTGGGAAGGTGGCTCAGTGGTAGAGCGCTTGCCTTGCATGCCTGAGGCCCTGGGTTCAATTCCTTAGCACTACATTAAACAAAAAGAAAAAAGCCGAAAGTGGCACTGTGGCTCAAGTGGTAGAGCACTAGCATTGAGCTGAAGAACTGAGGGACAGTGCCCAGGCCCAGAGTTCAGGCCCCATGACTGGACCCCCCCCCCCCCAAAAAAAAAAAAAAAAAGTCTCAGTCTCCTGCCCAGGGCTGGCTTTGAACCGTGATCTTTAGATCTTAGCCTCCTGAGTAGTAGGATTACAGGCATGGAGCTCCCAGTTATTTTGTTCAGCTTTATAGACAGAAAATTTAAGCATAGAAAGAATAAGAGGTTAAGGAATGTTTCCAGGATCGCATGTCTTACGAACAATGCATAAAAAAGAAAATAGACCAGGAACTGAGCTAGGACTGTGAGACGCTATCTCTACTTAACAACCAGAAAACCAGAAGTGGTGCTATGGCTCAAAGTAGTGGAGCACTAGGCTTGAGCAAAAAACCTTAGAGATAGTGGCCAGGCCCATAGTTCAAGCCCTACAACCAACAACAACCAAAAAAGCATGAATTACGGGGCCAGGGGTGGTTTTAAATCTGTTGTCTTGATTTGTTGTAAGATGTATACTACATGGTAGTGTACTTAAATATCTTTTCTTTTTTTCTTTTTTCTTTTTTTTTCTTTTTTTCTTTTTTTTTTTTGCCAGTCCTGGGGTTTGGGCACTGTCCCTGAGCTTCTTTTGCTTAAGGCTAACACTTGACCACTTTCAGCCACAGCTCCACTTCTTGCTCTTTCTGTTTATATGTGGTAGTGAGGAATGGAACCTGGGGCTCATGCATGCTAGGCAAGTAGGCTGCCACTAAGCCACATTCCCAGCCCAAGTTTTTTCTGTGGAGAACTTTGAGCTTAACAAGTACTTAGGGCAATCCAAAAGGTTATTGCTTATTTCTGAATTGTATTTATTGTTAACATGTATAAATACTTTCCTCTGCACTTCTCATGTGAAGTAACCTATGAACTAAATATGTCTTCTTTTCCTTCATATTTCCTGGTGGACTCTTGTTTGGGGCTCGGAGGATAGGTGAAGAAATAACTCGAGAAGCAAAAAAAGCACGAAAAGTGGGTGGTCTTGCTGGTAGCAGTTCTGATGACAGTGGAAGTGAGTCTGATGCCTCTGACAATGAAGAAAGTGATTATGAGAGCTCTAAAAACATGAGCTCCGGGGATGATGATGATTTTAACCCGTTTAGAGATGAGTCTAGTGAAGACGATGAGGATGGTGAGTTACTATGTGGATTTGCGGTGCTGCACACACAAAGTAAGGGCCCCCCAGCTCCTTGGCTGGGGGCATTAGTATTGAACTTTTCTCTTAATGTGTATTGTAAATGATTATACAAATTCTAAGTAAAGAGGCTTGTCTCTGCCTTTTGAAGATTTGAGCCTTTTATGCTTTAGTTTTTTTTTGTTTTTTTTTTTTGGGGGGGGGGCTCCAGTCTTGGGGCCTGAACTCTGGGCCTGGGCGCTGTCCCTCAGCTCTTCAGCTCAAGGCTAGCGCTCTACCACTTGAGCCACAGCGCAACTTCTGGCTTTTTTCTTTTTGCTTATGTGGTGCTGAGGATTCGAACCCAGGCCTCAGGCATGCAAGGCAAGCGCTCTACCACTAAGCTACCTTCCCAGCCCCTTATGGTTTAGTTTTTATATTTTTGCCAGTCCTGGGACTTGAGCTCTGGGCCTGCGTGTTCTCCCTAAGCTTTTGAGCTCAAGGCTAAAGCACTCTACCACTTGAGCCACAGCCTCCCTTTGGGCTTTTTCAGTGGCTAGTTGAAGATAGGAGTCTCACTGACTTCACTGCCTGGGCTGGCTTTGAACCTCAATCCTCAGATCTCAGCCTTCTGAGCAGCTAAAATTACAGGCATAAGCCCCTGACACCTGGCCAGATCCTCTTTTGAAGGCCATTTGTTTTGTTCCGTTACACTTTGGGACAGTTCTGGAGTCTGAGCTCTGGAGGGGACCTCATCCTTGATGGGCAAGTTCCCTGCTACTTGAACTATACACCCAACCTTTGTTGCTTTATTTTTCAGATAGGTTCTTTTGGTTTTATCCAGGGCTGGCCCTAGGCTGCATACAGTTCTTATCTCTGTCTCCCAAACAGATGCAGTAAGGCATGAGCCCTTGCTACCTAGCTTTGTATAGTTATTTTTACCTCAAAACTTGGAATGGAGGCTCACACCTATAATCCTAAACTACTTAAAAAGCTGAGATAATGAGGAACACCATTCAAAGCCAACCTTGCCAGGAGGGGTCTGTAAGATTCATATCTCAAATTAACCACCAAAAAAACCAGAAATGGAATGGCCGCTCAAGTGGTATTATGCCAGCCTAATGTGAAAAAGTCAGGGACACCTCTCAGTACTGGCACACACACTTCTACTAAAGTTGGTGATGACCTTACAATTAAATTAGTTAACAATAAAATAAATGAAGGATCACTTTTGAGGCCATGTGTTTTAACAAGTAACAAATATATACCTCTTTACTTTCAGATCCCTGGTTAATCAGAAAAGACCACAAAAAAAGCAAAGATAAAAAAAAGAAGAAAAGTATAGATCCAGATTCTATTCAAAGTGCCTTATTAGCATCAGGTCTTGGATCCAAACGACCTAGTTTTTCATCCACACCAGTCATCTCACCTGCTCCTAACAGTGCACCAGGTATCTATGTAGAAACTAGGTTTATCTTTGAAGTGTACCGTTAAATGATACAAGATGTTTGTGCTTGTGCTGATTTTTAACATGCATTCTTATTTAGCTAACAGTAACACCAACAGTACCAATAGCCTTATAACAAGTCAGGATGCTGTGGAAAGGGCCCAACAGATGAAGAAAGACCTGCTTGATAAACTAGAAAAGTTAGCAGAAGACCTCCCTCCTAATACCCTGGATGAACTTATTGATGAACTGGGTGGCCCTGAGAACGTTGCTGAGGTAAAAAGTTTGACTATTAAAGGGATGGCTATTCTTGGTAGCATTTTTGCCACTTTGAAATTTTACTTAAACCTCAAAGAATAATGGTATTTTGAATGTCCTCACATAACTGTTGAATTTCCTCTGGTGGTTCTTATTGCCCTCATTGTGCTTTAGTTACCATCCTTAAGCTTCTGAGTCATCATCTCAAGCCTATTTTGTGAGAGTTTGTTCTGAGCCTCTGTTTGGGTGCTACACTTACCATGCCCCAGTTTGTGATCATGGCCTTTCCTACCCAGGCTGGCTTTGAACTGAGATCTTCAGATCTCAGCCTCTTGAGTAGTTAGGATTACAGGCGTGAGCTACTAGCAACCAGCTTTCTTAGCTTTTCTTATTGCAGTGTTTTATACACCCAGTGCCAGGTGCATCACCCAAGTTTCCTACACCTTAGTTTAGTACTGAAACTGAGTCCTGCTGTTTGGCTTTCAGATGACTGGACGAAAGGGGCGAGTAGTGAGCAACGACGATGGAAGCATTTCTTATGAATCACGATCTGAACTTGATGTGCCTGTTGAAATACTAAATATTACCGAAAAACAGAGGTTTATGGATGGAGATAAGGTATATTTTTCTGAGATGCTTTAGAGTAAGCCTTCAAAGGATTCCCCTAATGTCATAGGTTCAATCTCCAGCACTGCAACAAAGAAAACTAATGATGTGTGCCTGTTGAGAAATCTGAATTTAAAATCCTACCATATACTGAATGTAATATTACGTATAGACCTGAATGTGGTTCTGCATAGTTTGAAGAACTTTTTTTTTTTTTTAAATTAATTTTATTTTATTTGAGAACATACTGTACAGAGGGGTTACAATTACATGGGCAGGATAATGCATACATTTCTTACCAAGCATTGCAGCCTCCTCCTTTGTTTACCCTTCACCTCCCTTCCCAGCCTTGAAGAACTTTTGTATCTACTTTTTGTTGTTGGTTGTGGGGTTTGAACTCTGGGCCTGGGCACTGTCTGGGAGCTCTTACCAGCTCAAGGTGAGCGCTCTACCACTGGAACCACAGTGCCACTTTTGGTTTTCGTGGTTTATTGGAGATAAGAGTCTTCATTTGAATGTCCAAATTAGGCCCCTTTCTTCTTAGTTCCTTCTTTCTTGTTCATTTCTTCCTTTCTTCATTTTTCTTTTTCCTTTCTTCCTTTTTTTTTCCTTTTTATTTTTCTTTTTTTTGCCAGACCTGGACCTTGAATTCGGGCCTAGGCACTGTCCCTGAGCTTTTTTTGCTCAAGGCTGGCACTCTACCACTTGAGCCACAGCGCCACTTCTGGCCTTTTGTGTTTATGTAGTACTGAGGAATGGAACCCAGGCTCAGAGTTCAATCCCCATGACAGACAAAAAAAATAGTAATAATGATATAAATAAATAAGTTATTTCTAAAAAAAAAAAAAAAAGTTTCATGGACTTTCCTGCCTAGGCTGGCTTTGATCCGATCCTCAGATCACAGCCTCCTGAGTAGCTAGGATTACAGCTGTGAGCCACCAACCCCCAACTTGAATTTTTAATCAATATAAAAACACAGTGTCATGACATACATTGTCATCTAGATGTTAGTCTAGAATGAGATTCAAGAGTATCCAGAGTGGGCTGGGAAGATAGCTCAGTGGCAGAGTGCTTACCTTGCATGCATGAGTCCCTGGGTTCAATTCCTCAGTACCACATAAGCAGAAAAAGCTGGAAGTAGTGCTGTGGCTCAAGTGATAGAGTGCTAGCCTTGAGCTGAAGAGCTGAGGGACAGCGCCCAGGCACACACACATGCACACACACCCACACCCCTAGTAAGGGGGACAGGACAGCTATCTTGATTCTGGGCAGCTGTATACTAAACTGACATTGGAGGTCCTAGTACTGAAGGGAGGAAAAGGTTGGTATTGGCATACCAAAGTCTACTGAAGGAGGTTATTTATGGCATTGTCCTGCTTGTCCTTCCACATGTATGATTTTTTTTTCTTCTTAAATCTGAAACAGAATATTGCTATCATCTCAGAAGCTGCCAGCTCAGGTATTTCATTGCAAGCAGATCGGAGAGCTAAAAATCAAAGGCGAAGAGTTCATATGACTTTGGAGTTACCGTGGAGTGCTGATAGAGCGATCCAACAATTCGGTATTGAGACCTTCCTTAAAATCATAAATTTTGTATTTGAGATTTTCTTTAATAAACATTGTAACACATAGTGCATTATGAATCTTGTCACCTGTTTTAAAATTGTATAAGATGTCTCATGGGATTATTGTGGTTCTCCTGGCATTTTATCCAAGACCAGGCTTCTTGTGAGAATCTTTATTTGGTAGTGTCTGGTTTCAGCCTTGGTGACTCAAGTGCAGGTGCATTGCTACGTCCTTCCATCTGACATGCTCCTGTTACCTTGAGAACCCAGCATGCTGTGAATGAGCAACATTGTCATGAAACAGTACTGGGGTAGTGGCAGCAGCTGTGCTATCCCATCTAACGGCTCCACACAGGCTCTGCTCCTCTTGGAGGGGATGTCGCTGTGCCCGTAGCTACGTCCCATCACTGTTGGTGGTGTTCTTTTGTGGCACTATTGAAAACGTTACATGCCAATTAATTTCCCCTCATTTCTAAGGATATTGTTTGTAGAACAATTGATGTCAATGCTAAGATATTTCTACCTAATGAAAACAATTAGTGAGATCTAAAAAATTGTCCTTACAGGAAGAACTCACAGATCAAATCAAGTTACTGCACCTGAATATGTCTTTCTGATTTCTGAATTGGCAGGAGAGCAAAGATTTGCTTCTATTGTTGCTAAAAGACTTGAGAGTTTGGTAAGTTTTGTGGTTATAGTAGATGGGTGTTGGAGATAATCTGTGTTACCTGATTGCTTATGAAAGGACTAGACCCTTAGTCAGAAATTTTGTGTTTTGCCAAGGGTGCGCTTACACATGGTGATAGAAGAGCTACAGAATCTAGAGACCTGAGCAGATTCAACTTTGATAATAAGGTACATTTTGGCCTTAAATGTCTGTAACCTTGTGGAGATGTGTACTGTCCTCGGTGATAACAAGTGAGTGTGATTATGCTTTCAAACAAAACTGCCTCTGTGATTCTGGTCTTGGTTTAATATCTTAGTTTTGTGCATGTAGATCAGATTTTCATGCAATGTAGTCAGCTTTTTGTTTGGAAAAAGAAATATAACGGATATGAGGGAGTGCCGTCGGGTGTGCATTCCCAGAAGTAACAGAACAGATGTCAGAGAGTGCATCCGGTGTGCATTCCCAGAAGTAATGTTGCTGAGTTACTGAGTGTCTGTGCAGAGGCATAAGGTTGGAAGTATAAAAATACATGATGATTATGGAGAGTGCTGCTCATGAATTTTGGGTGTAGTTTTTATTTTGTTTTCAGCACACTATCACTTGAGCCACACCTCAGTGATGTGATTGAAGCGTTTCCAAATGTTGAAATTGTGTTTTGATTTTTTTTTAATAGTATGGAAGAAACGCTTTAGAAATTGTCATGAAATCCATTGTCAACTTGGATTCTCCTATGGTGTCGCCACCTCCAGACTACCCTGGAGAGTTCTTCAAAGGTAACTCACACAGTGATTGATTTCTTTGTTTTTTTCCTAAGTAATGTAGTTTAGACTTAGTAATTCAAAGTTTAGACTTAGTAATTCAAAGTTTAGACTTAGTAATTTAAAAATAGAATTTTTAAATTATTTTGTGTTCATTCGGGGTTGAACTCAGGGCCTGGGCACCATCCCTGAGCTTCTTTTGCTCAAGACTAGTACTCTACTTTGAGCCACAGCTCCATTTCTGGCTTTTTGGTAGTTAATTGTAGATAAGAGTCTCATGTGCTTCCCTGCCTGGACTGGCTTTGAACTATAATTCTGTTGGATTGCAGGTGTGAGCCACTGGGGCCCAGCTCATTATCTTTGCTTTTCGTCAATCATCAGGCTTCAACTCTGGGCCTGGGCATTGTCCCTCAGCTCTTCAGCTCACAGCGAGCACTTTACTGCTTGAGCCACAGTGCCCCTTCCAGTTTTCTAGTGGTTTACTAGAAATAAGAGTCTCACAGGGCTGGGAAGGTGGCTCAGTGGTAGAGCGCTTGCCTTGCATGCATGAGGCCCTGGGTTCAGTTCCCCAGCACCACATAAGCAGAAGAAAAAAAAAGCCACAGTGCCACTTTTAGGTTTTCTAGTGGCTTATTGGAGATAAGTGTTTCTCGGACTTTTCTGCCTGGGCTAGCTTTGAACGTTGATCCTCAGATCTCACCCTCCTGAGTAGCTAGGATTACAGGTGTGAGCTACCTCAACTCATTATCTTTATAAATAGCATAATAATAATAGTACACTGTTACTACAATAAGTCCTAGCTGGGGGTGTGGCTCAAGTAGTAGAGCTGTTGATTGCCTCCTAGTGAATATGAGGCTCTGGGTGCCATCTCCAGTTCTCCCAAAAAATAAACTTATCTCACAGTCTAGAATAACTTAGCTTTAAGTATAATAGATTTAATATTTGCGTAATAATGACAGTTCTGACCTTCACTTATTGCTAAGTAGATGGATTTTCTTTTTCTTTTGGGTCCGGTCGTGAGGCCTGAACTCTGGGCCTGTACGCTGTCCCTCAGCTCTTCAGCTCAAGGCTAGCGCTCTACCACTTGAGCCACAGTGCCACTTGCGGCTTTTTTCTTTTTGTTTAATGTGGTGCTGAAGAATCGAAACCAGGGCCTCAGGCATGCAAGGCAAGCGCTCTACCACTCAGCCACCTTCCCAGCCGTAGATGGATTTTCTCTGTGTGTGAGTGTGTGTGTGTACATCTATGTATACATATATACATTTAAACACAGTAAAGGGCACTGAATATACACAGTTATCCTTTTTTTTTTAATTTTTATTTTTTGTGAAGATACTGTACAGAGGGGTTACAATTTTATATGGGCAAGATAATGAGTACATTTCTTATCAAGCATTGCAGCCTCCTCCTTTGTTTACCCTTCACATCTCTTCCCAGCCTCCCCCCCCCCCCCGCCCCCCCGCCCCCCACCTGGTCTGGTCGTGAGGCCTGAACTCTGGGCCTGCACGCTGTCCCTCAGCTCTTTACCTCAAGGTGAGCGCTCTAGCACTTGAGCCACAGCCCCACTTCCGGTTTTCTGGTGGTTTATTGGAGATAGGAGTCTCAAGGTCTTTCCTGCCCAGGCTGGCTTTGAACCACGATCCTCAGATCTCAGCCTCCTGAGTAGCTAGGATGACAGGTGTGAGCCACCAGCGCCCGGCCACAGTTATCCTTATATCCTCGTGATCTCTTTCTCCTGTAGAATCACTTCCTAAAATAGCTCCTGTTCAACTATTATGTAAGTCTGGAGGTGGTGGAGCCTTCATACTACACTCTCCTTCCTTTCTCCTACTACCAATTTTTTTTTGTTTTTTACTATTTTTATTTATTTTTGCAGTGTCAGGATTGAAGATTGAACCCGTGTGTGTGTGTGTGTGTGTGTGTGTGTGATGTGATGTACTTCAACCAGCTATATTCCATATTCATATTTCCTAAAAGCTTCACCAAGCTGGGCACTGGTGACTCATGCCCATAATCCTAGCTACTCAGGAGGCTGAGGATCAAGGTTCAAAGCCAGCCCAGGCAAGAAAAGGTATGAGACTCTTACCTCCAATTAAACACCAGAAAACCTGAAGTGGTGCTGTGGCTCAAGGGGTAGAGTACTCACCTTGAGCTGAGTAGCTTAAGGACAATGCCCAGCCCAAAGTTCAAGCACAGGACTGACCAAAAAAAAAAAAAAGCTCCTCACCTATCAGTAATATGATTCAGGCATGTTGTCTGTTTAGATATTACTTCTCTTTTGCATTATTTACATCTGGCCTGAAGCATTATGTCCTTATTTACACTGTTATTTAATCAGCTAGTTGTTTTTTGTTTTTGTGTTGTTTTTTTTTTGGTCCGTTGTGGGGCTTGAAATCTGGGCCTGGGCAGTGTTCCTGAGCCCTTTTTGTTCAAGGCTACTTCCTACCACTTTGATCCAAATCACCACTTCTGGTTTTCTCGTGGTTAATTGGAGATACAAGTCTTATGCACTTTCCTGCCCAGGCTGAGTTTTGAACCTGGATCCTCAGATCTCAGCCTCCTGAGCAAGTTAGTATTATAGACATGAGCCACCAGCACCTGGCTACTTTTATTTATTTATTATTTTTTATTTTTTGTCTGTTGTGGGACTTGAACTCTGGGCCTAAGCACTGTCCCTCAGCTCTTCAGCTCAAGGCTAGTGCTCTACCACTTGAGCTACAACGCAACTTCCGGGTTTTTTTCTGGTGGTTTATTGGAGATACGAGTTTCATGGACTTTCCTGCCCAGGCTGGCTTTGACCTGTGATCCTCAGATCTCAGCCTTCTGAGTAGCTAGGACTACAGGCGTGAGCCACTAGCGACTGGCTACTTTTTTTTTGTTGTTTGTGGGGCCTGAACTCTGGGCCTGGGCGCTGTCCCTCAGCTCTTCAGCTCAAGGTTAGTGCTCTACCACTTGAGCCACAGTGCCACTTCCAGCTTACTTGGTGCTGAGGAATTGAACCCAGGGGGCCCTCAAGCAAGCAAGGCAAGCATTCTACCACTGAGCTACCTTCCCAGGCCCCTGGCTACTTTTTTTTTTGGGGGGGGGGGGGTCCAGTCGTGGGGCCTGAACTCTGGGCCTGGGCACTGTCCCTCAGCTCTTCAGCTCAAGGCTAGGTAGCGCTCTACCATTTGAGCCACAGCACCACTTCGGCTTTTTTCTTTTTGCTTATGTGGTGCTGAGGAATCGAACCCAGGGCCTCATGCATACAAGGCAAGGGCTCTACCACTGAGCCACCTTCCCAGCCCACTTGGCTACTTACTTTTTTAAGTAAAGTTGATGTACAGAGGGATTATAGTTATGCAAGTCAGGTAAGGAGTACATTTCTTTTTGGACAATGTCACCCTTTCCTCACTCTCCCAGTTTTTCCCTCCATCATTATAAGTTATATAGTTCATTTTCAACATAGTGTCCAGTGAGTGCCATTGTTGTATTTGTTTACCCTTTGTTCCTCTATTTCTGTACCTCCCCTTAAACTCCCAAAAACATACAAGCAAACAAATGAAACAAAAAGGAAAGAAAACAAAAACAGCAATAAAGGAAAAACTTTGGTTTCATTTCCTAGAGTTCATTGTATTTTGCTATTCATGCAAAGTTGTTCAGAAAGTCTAGGTGTTGTCTATATAGACAGGATTCATGTAAGATGTCCAGGGTTGCTATTGGAAATTAAGATAGTTTAATGAAGGGCTAGGGGTATAGCTCAGCTGTAGAAGGGCTGCTGGGTTCAATCCATTACAATAAGGAAAAAAAATAGAGCAAGGAATCGAAGTCATAGAATCTAGAATAAGATTGGTATATCTGGCTGGGAAGGTGGCTCAGTGTTAGAGTGCTTGCCTTGCATACATGAGGCCCTCGGTTCAGTTCCTCAGCACATAAACAGAAAAATCTGGAACTGGCACTATGGCTTAAGTGGTAAAGTGCTAGCTTTGAACTGAAGAGCTGAGGGACAGCGCCCATGCCCAGAGTTCACACCCCACGACTGACCCCTCCCCCCCCCCCCCCCAAAAAAAAAAAAAAGATTAGTATATTCAAGGATGTTTGTAGACTGTGGACACAGTCTCATTGATTTGTGTGACACAGTAGAACCAAATATAGGTTGTATCTTTTTTTTTTTTTTTTTTGGTCCAGTCGTGGAGCCTGAACTCTGGGCCTGGGCACTGTCCCTCAGCTCTTCAGCTCAAGGCTAGCGCTCTACCACTTGAGCCACAGCGCCACTTCTGGCTTTTTTCTTTTTGCTTATGTGGTGCTGAGGAATCGAACTCAGGGCCTCAGGCATGCAAGGCAAGCGCTCTACCACTGAGCCACCTTCCCAGCCCCATATAGGTTGTATCTTAATGCTAGACTTGATCCAATTTGATTAGTTCAACAACTCTCAAGTCATTCGTATTTCTTTTGTTTCTTTTTCGATGTCCTGGAGATTGAACCTAGGTCTTCAGGAACATGGTAGACAAGACCACATGAGCTATGCCCAGTCCTTCCACAATGTTGTGCATTCATTTACTTTCTTGCAGATGTTCGACAAGGACTGATAGGAGTGGGACTGATCAATGTAGAAGATCGCTCAGGAATCCTTACTCTTGATAAAGGTAATACTGTGAATGTCTGTGCCTGCCGCATCTAATTGTTACATGGTAACGAAGTCCATTCTGTTAGGTGTGCTTTTGGGAGCTGACAAGGGAAGCTTCAAGTTAGTTTTTAATCCCGCAATATAGAGTAAACCTGGCTGCCAAGCTTTTAAAAAATACAGGTCCAATAGTGGAGCCCAAATGTTATCCCAGGGCTCCCTGACATTACAGTGGACAGCCAAGGTTGAGATTCACTGACTTTCATAGTTAATATTTACTAATGTTGGAGAACTAACATTTTCATCTGCTAAATTGTGTTCGTAAAGTTGAAACTGCAAAATGCCTACTTGTAGTTGGGCACTGGTGGCTCATGCTAATCTTAGCAACTCAGCAGGCTGAAGGATTGTGTTCAGAGCCAGCCTGAGCAGAAAAGTCCATAAGCCTCTTTTTTTTTGGCTGGTCCTGGGCCTCAAACCTCTGGGTTTAGGTGCTATCCCTGAGCACTTTTTTGCTCCAGGTGAGCGCTCTACCACTTGAGCCATAGTGCCACTTCTGCTTTTTCTGTATTTAATTGGAGGTAAAGAGTCTTAGAGATTTTCCTGCACAGACTGGTTTTAACCGCAATCTTCACATTTCAGCCTCCTGAGTAGCTAGGATTACAGCTGTGAGCCACCAGTGCCTGGATGTCCATGAGACCCTTATCTCCAATTACCAAGAAATCCAAAAATACAGCTGTGGCTCAAGTGGTGGAGTGCTAACCTTGAGCAAAAAGCTTAGGGACAGCGTCTAGGCCTTGAAGTCAAGCCCCAGGATTCAGCCTGCCACCCCCCCAAAAAATAGTGCCTACTTGTGCCAGAAATGGATTTTTTTTTTTCCGTCAGTCAGAAATGGATTTTTTTTTTTTTTTGTAAGTCTTGGAGCTTGAAGCTTAGGCCTGGACCTGGGTATATGTAGTCCTTGCACTTGGGAAGGTAAGTGAAGAATATCCAGAATTCAAGGCCAACCTAGGCTGTACGGTGAGAGACAAGTACAAAACAAAAAGCTAGATATACTTGCTCATGTCTAATACTAGCTACTCGGAGGCAGAGATCGGGAGGATTGAAATTTCAGGCCAGTCCAGGCAAAATGTTAAAGATTTCCATCTCAATTGACTAATTGGTATGGTGCTATGCACCTGTATCCCAGCCTTGTGAGAAGTAGATTACAGTCTGGGCTGGCCTGAACCAAAACAGTGGGATCCCATTCTATATATAACTAATGCAAAGGGCCTGCACATAATCCAAGTGGTAGAGTACTTGACTAGGATTAGAGTTCAAGCTCAATACTTGCCACCACCACCACCACCACCACCACCACCACCACCCCAAAAAAAAAAAAAAAAAAAAGCCAACAAACATCTCTGGAGCATGTGTTGCTATTGTACTACTGTTGAGAGGTAGAAATAGGCGAGTTGCAATGTGGCTGGCCACAGAGTAAGCCGAGGTGAGCCAAGGTTTTTCTTATTTGGTTGGTCAGGGGGCTTGAACTCAGGCTGGGCTCTGTCCCTGGGCTCTTCAGCTTAAGGCAAGCGCTCTACCGCTTGAGCCACAGCGCCACTTCTGGTTTTCTAGTGGTTTATTGGTGATACGAGTCTCACAGACTTTCCTGCTCGAGCTGGCTTTGAACCGACATCCTCAGATCTCAGTCTCCTGAGTAGCTAGGATTACAGGTGTGAGCCACCGTTGCCCGGTTAATACTCTGACGCTTTGAGCCACAGTGCCACTTCCAGAATTCTGGTGGTTAATTGGAGAAAGGAGTCTAGGGACTTTCTGCCTGGGCTGGCTTTGAAGTGCCATCTTTAGGTCTCATTTCTCCTGAATAGCCAGGATTGCAAGTGTTAGCCACCAGCACCCAGCTATAAAAATGTTTTGATGACACTCTGAATGTATAAAATTGTTTGTGTGATATTGTCATTGCAGATTACAACAACATAGGAAAGTTCTTAAATAGAATTCTGGGCATGGAGGTGCATCAGCAGAACGCCTTGTTCCAGTACTTTGCAGACACACTCACTGCGGTTGTTCAAAATGCCAAAAAAAATGGAAGATACGATATGGGAATACTAGGTCAGTGGGGGACTTTTCAGTTGTCAAGTGTGTTAACAGCCAGGGTGTTGACTTACATTTCATTTTGCTCTTTCTCTTCCAAGATCTTGGTTCAGGGGATGAAAAGGTGAGGAAAAGTGATGTGAAGAAGTTTCTAACTCCAGGGTACTCAACCTCAGGCCATGTGGAATTATACACAGTAAGTGTGGAAAATGTATTCATTTAAGGAGTGTTTTGGGATGGGCATTTGCAGATGTGAGTTTAATTGGAACTTGTGGTTTCTTTACAGATTAGTGTGGAAAGGGGGATGTCCTGGGAAGAAGCAACCAAGATTTGGGCTGATCTGACAGGACCAGATGACGGCTTTTACTTGTCATTGCAAGTATGACTGTTTAATATATAATCCTCTCCCCTCTCCCTCTCCCCCTTTTATTGAGAAAGGGTTCGCTGTGTAGCTCAGCCTGGCTGGAAATGGGCATCCTCCCTACCTCTACTTCTCTTTTCTCTCCTCTCCTCTCCTCTCCTCTCCTGTCCTGTCTTTTCTTTTCTTCTTTTCACCAGGCCTGGGGCTTGAACTCAGGGTCTAGACACTGTCCCTGAGTTTCTTTTGCTGAAGGCTAGCACTCTACCATTTGAGCCACAGGCGCCACTTCTGGCTTTTCTGTTTATGTGGTACTGGTACTGAGGAATCAAACCTAGGGCTTTTTTTTTTTTTTTTTTCCCCGATCATGGGGCTTGAACTCTGGGCTTGGGCGCTGTCCCTCAGCTCTTCAGCTCAAGGCGAGCGCTCTACCACTTGAGCCACAGCACTGCTTCCAGTTTTCTAGTGGTTTATTAGAGATAAGAGTCTCGCGGAGTCAGCCGCCGGTGGCTCATGTCTGTAACCCTAGCTACTTAAGAGGCTGAGATCTGAGGATCAAGGTTCAAAGCCAGCCCGGGCAGGAAAGTCCGTGAGACTCTTTATCTCCAGTAAAGCACTAGAAAACTGGAAGTGGCGCTGTGGCTCAAGCGGTAGAGAGCTCGCCTTGAGCTAAAGAACACAAGGACAGTGCCCAAGCCCAGAGAACAAGCCCCATGACTGACAAAAAAAAGTCTCATGGACTTTCCTGCCCAGGCTGACTTTGAACCGTGATCCTCAGATCTAAGCCTCCTGAGTAGCTGAGTAGCTAGGATTACAGGTGTGAGCCACCGGTGCCCAGCAAACGTAGGGCTTTTATGCATGCTAGGCAAGCATTCTACCACTAAGCCACATTCCCAGCCCTGCCTCCACTTTGAGATTGTAGGAACACACCAACATGCCATAATTCTCTTTCATTGCTCTATGCCATAGTTCTAGTAATATACATTGTGAGGAAGTGTTACTAGATGCAAACTTAGAATTGTTAAGTAGCTGTGTGCCAGTGTTTTATGCCTTGTAATCCTAGCTACTGAGGAGGCTGAAATCTGAGGATTTCTGTTTGAAACCATCTCAGGCAGGAAAATCCACAGGACTCCTAATCTCCATTATCTTCAAATAGCCACAAAAAAGCTGAAAGTGGAGCTGTGTGGTTCAGGTGGTAGAGCACTAGCCTTGAACAAAAAAGCTTGAGGACAGCGTCTATTCCTTGAGTTTGGGCCCTGGAATGGGGTGTGGTGCCTTGCATGTGTGGGCTTCCCCCCCACAACCAGCACACACAGAATCTTCCTTTTCAGAGCCCCTTGTGTTCACTACTTATAAATGCTATTTTCTTTTTTTTTTCCTCCCTCTCTCTCTTTTTTTTTGGCCAGGCCTGGGGCTTGAACTCAGGGCCTAGGCACTGTCCCTGAGCTTCTTTTGTTCAAGGCTAGCACTTTACCCCTTGAGCCAAAGAGCCATTTCCAGCTTTTCTGTGTATATGATACTGAGGAATGGAACCCAGGGCTTCATGCATGCTGGGCAAGTACTCTACCACTAAACCAAGCCACATTCCCATCCTTGTTTTTTTTGCCTGTCCTGGAGCTTGAACTCAGGGCCTGGGTGCTGTCTCTGGGCTTCTTTGTGCTCAAGGTTAGCACTCTACTACCTGACATAGCCCTACTTCCAGCTTTTTTGAGTAGTTTATTGGAGATAAAAGTCTCACAGACTTTTACTGCCGGAGCTGCCTTCAAACCTCAATCCTTAGATCTCAGCCTCCTGAGTACCTGGGATTACAGGCATGAGCCACTGGTGCACCGTCTGTGCTGGTCAATTTTGTATAGTAAAATTATTCCTGCCCCTTTGCTAAAGAACACTATGGCCCTCAAGACATTGTTTTTTGCTTGAGCTGAGCAGCTTTTTGTTGGGTGCAGTTTTTGTTCAAGGCTTCATAGAGCTGGGCTCTGGTGGCACGTGCCTGTAATCCCAGCTATGCAGGAGGCTAAGATCTGAGAATTGCAGTTCAAAGCCAGCCCAGCCAGAAAAGTCCATGTGAGAGTCTTACATCAAGTTAACCACTCAAAAACCGGAGTAGGGCTCTGACTCAAAGTGGTAGAGCACTAACTTGAGTAAAAAGCTCAGGAGCAGTGCCCAGGCCCTGAGTTGAAGCCCCACAACCAACAACAAAACAAAAAAGGCTGCACAGGTGGTTCACCTGCCCCACGGCTCCATAGTCCATGGTCTGGGGGCGGTTTCAGTGACTGCTTGGTGGTGTAATAGTACAAAACCATGTTCTAAACTGTGTGCTAGCAAATGTTTGTTTTCTCCTTTTTGTATTTAAAAGATAAGGAACAACAAGAAGACTGCCATCTTAGTTAAAGAAGTGAATCCTAAAAAGAAACTCTTCTTAGTTTATCGGCCAAATACAGGGAAACAACTCAAATTAGAAATCTACGCTGATCTAAGAAAAAAGTATAAGAAGGTACTTTCTTAATTTTTCATAATATTGTCAATACCTTTTTTAAAATCTTAATATATTGAATCCATGTTAAGGAGAGCTGTGTCCAGACATAAAATTACTTTTTCAGTTTGAATTTGGTTAGTTTTCCAGGATAATAAGGGGTGCTACTGCATTAATAGCCTAGTCTTAATCTCACCGACCATTGAGTAATTGTTAAGGGTATGATCTGGAGGTGTATGTGGTTATTGAAGCCAATTTCCAGTGCTGAGGAAAATTCCTTCCCACCAACTTTTGCTTATTTTGAGCTTGCTATAATGTTTATCCCTTGCAGTGAGTCTAGAGAATTCTAAGTAACTTTTCCACAAACATTCCTGTTAGTTTTTACTTTTGGTATTGCTTTACATTAATATTTCTAGCCACTCTTATTTAAAAACAAGTATCACTCAGCTTGCCCTTTAAAAATTTATTTTATAGGAAGGAAAACATGATTGTAGAACATTTTGAATCACATCCAAATTTACCTGATAGTAAGGGCTAGGTTTTCTGTATAGAGATGATGTTAAGTTAGCTGCCTCTAATTGGAGACCAAGTTAAGCAGTTGGTTTTCTTGCGGATCGTACTATTTCAGTGGAATTCCAATTGTATTTTTACAGGTGGTCTCCGATGATGCCCTGGTACACTGGTTGGATCAGTATAACTCATCTGCAGATACGTGTACACACGCTTACTGGTTAGTACTTTCATGTTTCATGTTGTAAAATGTCAGGATTTAAACATACCTTCATTCATACTAATATGCCCTTATGTGTAAATGAACAAGTTAACTATTGGTAGAGGTAGTTCATCTCATGAAAAGTACTTACTGAGCTTTTGTGGATGAGACCCTGTTAATGGACCCAATCTGTCTCCCCACTGCTCCAGCCTCCCTTCCCCTTCCCTCATTCTCTGCATTGACTTTCAGGCCTTGACTTTCCTTGGGCAGTACCATACTACTTCAGTCAAGCCTCCAGCTTGTTTTTCTTACAGTTCTATTTGGTCTTTTCCCTTTTGGTTACTGAGGACTTGTCACTAATCTGCTTTACAACAAGGTATTAGTGGTGGTTAAAGAAATAGCTGTAAGAAAATGGGTATCGGGTTAAAAATATGTAGATGCTACCAGCAGTAAATAGCCCTCTTAATACAGTTGGGTAAGCTGTATGAAAATGAGTAGTGACCCTTCAATTGAAAAGGGAGGGGCTGGGAAGTTGGCTCAGTGGTAGAGCGCTTGCCTTGCATGCCTGAGGCCCTGGGTTCAATTCCTCAGCACCACATAAGCAAAAAGAAAAAAGCTGGAAGTGGTGCTGTGGCTCAAGTGGTGGAGTGCTAGCCTTGAGCTGAATAGCTGAGGGACAGTGCCCAGGCCCCGAGTTCAGGCCCCACGACCGGACCTCAAAAAAAAAAAAAAAAAAAAGGGAAAACTCAGGAAGTCAGTAAAAGCAAATTGTGTTAGACCCTGTTTCTTGAAACTCAGCTAGAGCACATCCTTTTTTTTTTTCTCTCTCTTTCTCCTAGGCGTGGCAATTGCAAAAAAGCAAGCTTGGGATTGGTGTGTGAAATAGGTCTTCGTTGCCGCACGTACTATGTGTTGTGTGGCTCGGTGCTGAGCGTCTGGACTAAAGTAGAGGGTGTTCTTGCTTCTGTCAGTGGCACAAACGTGAAAATGCAGATAGTTCGGCTAAGAACAGAAGATGGGCAACGAATTGTAGGTGAGTCAAAGGTTTTGTTTTAGTTGAAGTTGTGAAGAATGTCCCAGCCTGTCTTGTTTACTTCTAACACTCTAGTTCTCTCAGCAATGAGTATGAAACCTGCCTTTGTACCCTGTGAGCGTGGACAGCCAGCGGTTCAGTGTGGTCTGCCTGGGCCATCTACGCAGTCACCTCTGCAGCTGCTCTTGCTTGGGCCTGTGGGGCTCCCTAATGTGAGGACATCCCAGTCTTCACTCAGGGCTCTGACCTGAGCCAGGCCCAGATAATTCAGGACACAAGGCACAAGGCCAGCCCCTGCAGAGAGCAAGAGTAGTGCTCAGCTACAAGTGTCCAGCAGGCGGCAGTTAGTGCAGAGTCTCCCTTATGGCAGCTGTCCTGTTTCAGAGATGGGCACTTTATGGCCAGAGTTTGTGCATGAACTTTTGTTTTGGCCCTTACACTGAGTTTTTGGTTAAATTAATTGCCAACATGTAAAAATTAAGGGGAGGCCTGGGAATGTGGCTTGGCGGTAGAGTGCTTACCTAGCATACATGAAGCCCTGGGTTCAATACTGTTTACACAGAAAAAGCCAGAAATAGCTCTGTGGTTCAAATAGTAGGGTGGTAGCCTTAAGCAAAGAAGCTCAGGGACAGTGCCCCTGGACTGTCAAAAAAAAAAAAAAAATTCATGAAGTCTGGGTTTCCAGCTAAAATAAGCTTATCTAAACCAGGTGCTGAGCACTATAATCCTAGCTACTCAGGAGGATAAGATCTGAGGATCACAGTGCAAAGCCAGCACAAGCAGGAAAATCTATGTGACTCATCTCCAGTTAATCACCCAAAGGCTGGAAGTTGAACTGTGTCTCAAGTGGTAGAGCACCAGCCTTAAGCAAAAAAGCTAAGGCACTGCACTCAGGCTGAGTTCAAGCCCTAGGATTGGCACCAAAAGGGGTGGGGTTGGGGGGTCGGAGAAGAAGCTTATCTAGAACACTGAGTCCATGTTCCCATGTGGCAGAGTTTAAGTTTTTGAGGCCTATGTTTTCCAGTTTATCAAGCACACTCTGCCTTCTTGAGATCACTGGTCCAGGGCAGGGTGGGGGCTGGTGGGGTGCATTCACAACCTTCGTTTTGTGGCTCACCAAATTACAAAGAAAGTTGTAGCCATATGCTTTTGTGGAACTGAACGATAACAAAAAAGTGCTGTACTATTGGGGAGGCAGAGATAGAAGGATTGTGGTTTGAGGCAAGCTGCAAGCTCAGGCCAAAAAAAAAAATTGTAAGACTGTATCTCAATAACAAGGCCAGTACTATACTAGGTGCATGTCTGTCTGTAACACAAGATACTGAGTAGATAAGAGATGGTGGGTCATGGTCCAAGGCAGAAAGCATAAAATGCTACACAAAAAATAATCTCAGGGGCTGGGAAGGTAACTCAGTGGTAGAGGGCTCACCTCACATGCATGAGGCCCTGGGTTCGATTCCTCAGCACCACATAAGCAGAAAAAGCCGGAAGTGGCGCTGTGGCTCACGTGGTAGAGCACTAACCTTGAGCTGAAGAGCTGAGGGACAGCGCCCAGGCCCAGAGTTCAGGCCCCACCACCGGCAAAAAAAAAAAAATGTCATTGGAAAAAAATTAAGGATGGTGGCATGGTGGTCGAGCCCTTGCCTAGCAAGGGTAACGCCTGATGTAAAAACTGTATGGGAGAAGAGAGCTGTCCTGGGTTCTCCGTTGTTTTGAGTAGGGGGATGCTGTTGCCCTGGATGCGTGCCTCCACTGGGGTTTCTGTGCGGAAGGATCGGGTTGCATCTCAGTGGACCATCGCAGTCATTGCGGACTTGGCCTAATCTTTATGTGGAAGGCTCGCTCATTACACTTACTATTATGCCTCATTTGGAATGTGCTGTGAAGCTGTAAAATACAGTGGTTTTTACTGCATGTTACTTTATAGATTCTATTGCTAATTACAGGTTTGATCATTCCGGCAAATTGTGTGTCTCCTCTTGTAAATCTCCTGTCAACTTCAGACCAGTCCCAGCAGCTCGCGGTGCAGCAGAAGCAGCTGTGGCAGCAGCACCATCCGCAGAGTATTGCCAGCCTGAGCAACGCCTAGAGAACACAGCTTTCGGAGATGCAAAAAAAAATCAGGGACAGTTTCCAAAGAATTATATATTTTTTTCAGTTGTGCTCTCTAGTTAATTTTGGGGGAGGAAGGGCAAACCTGGAATAGAAAACCCGGAAGTCAGCGCCGCAGTGGTACACACATCGTTCCTTTGTTTCCCTTTGGGCCACCCTTCTGCTCTTGGTTGCTGTGAGCAGAGGGAGGAGGGTGCATGTGTGTGTGTGTGTGTGTGTATGTGTGTGTGTGTGTGTGTGTGTGTACATGCGCACGCGTGCGCATGAATGTGTGTCTATCTGTCTGAATTTGTTAAAGGCTACAAACCACAATTGGTTTAAAAATGCTTGGAACTTCCCAAACTGGCTTTACTTTCTGTTCCTCAGTGCTCAGGGTTACGCAGCACACCCCGCCCTGCGCGCCGGGTGTCCCCATGCATGTGTTTCCAGTCTAAATAGAGAAAATATATATTGGTTTCTTTTTCAAACTTAAACAATAGGTTTACTAAAGCATGAGATGAGAGGTTGCATATCATGCCTTCAGGTTCTTTTGCAGTTTTTGTTTCGACAGTGCATGTCTTTGAGAGCATGCGTAAACAAGATTAACACAGAAGTCAATATGGGAAAGAAATCTCATAGCTGTACAGCATTGGTTATTGCATTTTGTAGTGTTTATACCTGGGTACTGCTCCAAACCCACTCCCTCTGCCCCCAGGTTTCTTGTCAAAGAAATGAGAACAAGCCCTTTTTTTGTGCGATAATACTCATAAAGTTAATTTTAATGTATTAATAGTATTCCTAATGTGTGGTGAAAAGACGGCTACAGGCCTTTTTTTCTTAAAGTTACTTTGTCCTTAATTTAAAGATAGTTTAGAAAGAAGTACAATTGGCTTCCATCTTGCAAAAACAGTCTTTTTTTACTTCATTATCTGACGGCTTTGTCACTCAAACAGGAAATAGTACTTGAGTTGTAAACTAGACAATGAGGAAACACTTGAGGCTTCTGCTGTATGTTTTTTTTTGTTAATTATTGTTATTGTTATTCAGTAACTTGAATATTGTTTAATGTGTGTAAGACATTGTAGAGTTTATCTCAAACTGTTAAAAATGGTAATGTACAAATGTGAATAGACATTATCTATAACATGGGTAAGTTTGTTTCACCTATAATAGATGTTTATAAAAACAAGTGAGGGGACAACTGGTCTTTTTGTTTCCTCTTTTTTCTCTCTTTCTCTTTCTCTCTCTCTCCCTCCCCTTCCCTCTTTCCCCCCCTTCCCCCCCCCCCCTCTCTCTCTTTCTCTTTCTGCTTGCACAGGTTGCACTATTAAATTGAGATTGTATAGACCTGGTCAAAAGCTGCAAGATACCAAAATCTTGTAGATGTTAATAAAGAAGTTGTTATACTAATGCGGTGGACTCTTGTTTAGGCCCTCACGGGGACTTTCACAAGCAGTCTATTGGGGCCTCTTGGAACTTAGTTTATGGAGGCAGCCTTTTAGTTGGTTAGCCCGTCCTCCTAAAGTGTAAGCAAGGGATAGACCCAGAGGAAACTTGTCAGAGAGAGGATCAATCGGGTCAGCTGTGTGTTAAGGATGGCTAGCTAGAACCTGTTGAAAAGTTGAGGCTTTCAATCTCTTGGGTTTCAGTTTGGTTACATTTACTCTTGTTTTCTTTGGATTTATTTATTCTTAGTGCCTAAAAGAACAAATTGAGAATGATTTCTGTTCCTGGGCACGTTTGGCCTGGTGGATGCAACTTTTATCCTCAGTGTAGTCCTTGTGTATCTCAGGCAGTGACCGCATGGCTCTGGCGCAGGACCGCTAACCCCCTGGGCAGCTGTGTGCGGCCCGCTCCCACCAGCTCCAGTTCTGGTAGCATGCTCCAGCACATTCAGCGGAAAGCCTGGGACGGGGCACACCCGTGTGTGCACAGGATGTCTCTTTGGCAGGTCCTGTTGTCTCTGGTGCTTTCCTAGCAGCATCGGCAGGGTTCATGGAGTAATGTTTGCTCTTGAAATAGCCATCTCGATGTGCAAGTATGTTCTGGTCCTTTGAGAAAGACTTTTTCATCATTTTCTTAAAAAAGTCAAATATTGGGCATCTGATAGCCCAATTAAGCAGACTTGTACAGGGCAAGGCGCTGAGCTGCCATATTCCTGACCCCAGGGCCAATGCCTGATACCTGTCCACACTACCCTGGAGAAGCTGCAGATCCAGCTTCACCAGGAAAGCAGCAGTACTCAAGAGGCTAGCCCATCACAAATCAAGTGTTCACAGCAGGTCCTTTTATGGGAACTTGTTCAACGCAGCATGCGTCTATTTGGTCTCTGCGATGCCTTTTCTCGCCCTTTTAGCAATATGGCTCTGAGCAGGCAGCTTGGCCTGCAAGTGATGTCAGTGTTGGAGAGTACATGTCCATTGTGCTGACCCCCTCCCAGGGATGCCATGCTGCCACAGGAAGCCCTGCCCCTTTCCTTTGGCAACCTCCGCGCCACAGGGTCTACCTGCAGTTTCCTGGGTCACCCAGACAAGCTGTCCTCGATAACTAATTTAGCAATGCATTAAGAGAGTATTCTTTAGAAAGGAATTCTTTGATCAAGAAATAGATGTGTTAAACAACTTTCTTTTTGCTACTTTATCTGTTTAAAATGTACATATAAATTAGCGAGAACCTGCATCCAAAGCACTGTGGTATTGTGTGTGTGTGTGTGTGTGTGTGTGTGTGTGTGTGCGTGTGCGCGCGCTCGCACGTGTGTGTGCGTATTTATTCTTATTGAGTTATTTGGCACTTCAGAGACCTATTTGAGTTGTAGCAGTAAACCTTTTTGTTCTGGTCTGCTGTTTCTGGAGGTTGGCTGTAGCCCAAGTCATTCATTCCATGCAAAGCCATCAGAACAACTTAAGCAGACCAGAGAAGGAAGGGGTCCCAGGGCACCATGTGCACGGTGAAAAGGGGATCCTCTTCCTATTTTAGCCTGAGGTACAAGGAAGCAGGTCAGCAATGCTTGATAAGAGCAGGAGTCCTTTCTTGGTAAGAATAAGAGCCCGGACCTTGCCTAGCACTCTCACTTAGAAAGGGGCCAAGCAGTACAAGGTACAAAGCCAGGCAGGGTGCTGTTAGGGTTAGGAAAGCCATGTTCACTGGGATCTGGGTGGTGGGTGATGGGTTAGCTCCGCTGTAATGGTGGGCACTTGCCAGATCTGGTCTTCCTGGTGAGCGCCACAGCTGTGTCCCTGGGACAGCATTCCGTGTTGCCGCTTCATCCAAGAGCATGTCCATGTGCTGGAAAATTCTCTTGAGACCAATTGTCCCGTGTATATGCAGTGTCTTCAGTGACAGGACACCTGCAGCTCATGCTAGGGAGGGAGTGGCTGGTAAAACCAGACCCACCCTCTGGCTCTACGCTGGACTAATGTGTGGACAGAAATGTGTATATGTAGAAATGGGAGTTCTTTTGAATTCGGAATGTAAATATTTCTTGTACATTGGGATTCCACCCATTTGTTTTTCCCTTTTCCCTGCTCCTCCTATTTATTCTTTTCTTGGCTTCCCAAGTGGGCATCTTGGCGCCCCTACTCTATCCTAAGTTAAAAATCTAGGAAAGTATGAAAAACATCTGAATTGCATTTGTTTCTGTGTTCTCGAATTTGTTTTGCATCTTTGCTGTAGAATTCCTGTCTGCTTTGTTCATATTTTCAGCGTAGCTGCTGGTTTGTGTTCTGCATCTTCATGACTTTTCACCCTGTGTGGTGCTCACTGTGTTCTCTGGAAACCAGTGAGCCTAGTGTTTTCACATACGAAATGCTACCCAGGACTTCCTGTAACTCCTCTTCCTCCATGCCCTTGGGATCAAACCTAGCACTCGAGGAAGTGAGACTGCCCCCCTCCCCGTCCCCGTTCCCCCTGCATTTGAGGTGCTGCCTGGAGTCCCTCACTCCTCAGCCGCCCGGCAGTAGCGGGGAGCGGTCAGGTCCATGGAAACTGCTCCTCCATCTGCTTTGGCTGTTGCTGGTAGCCAGTGACTGGCCATGTGCTTTGGGAATGTGCTTTGAAACAGTTGTCTTCCAGGGGACCCCTCCACCTCATCCCTGCCTCCCCCACCCTCACACGCCTGGCTTGGTGCTCCTGGGGCTTTGCTGTGCTGGAGTAGAGAAAGCCCCGGGGCACTCTGGGAGATTCTGGGGCCACCACCCAGAAGCACATTCCAGAAAAACGTTCCTCTGGAAAGGTGGCTGTGAGCATTTCTCCAGCCTTTCCACTCGTGTATTGTTTGCTTCGTGACCATTCAACTTGTTAGATATGTTGAAAGCTTAAAAGTTGTCCAGGGAGCTTCATTTGTGGGGAATCTGGGCCTGGGCACTGACCCGCTGGACCCGCCGAGTCCGCTGAAGCCCTTTGCCATGGTCACCTGCGCCTTGCAGCAAGTTCTGCCTTTTGAATCTTGGTTTTGGCCTCAGGCCAGAGCGCCGGGGTACTAGCCCCTTGGGAAGAACTCTCCTGGCCTTTCCCTGCTGGCACCCGGGCCCAGACCCCACCCTGTAGGCCCATCCTGCCCCGCAGACCTTTCTGGCCAGAAGACACGGGAAGTCGCGTGCCAGGGCGGTGGCTGTGACATGGGAGAGGAAAGAGAAGCTGAGCCTTCCCCCGATTCCCACTTGAGGGCCAGAGGAACGTCTCATGTAACGCATTGCCAGCTGCCACTAGCCAGGGCAAAGCATCCTGTTGATGGTTTATGCTGAACTTGCAAACTACCGACCTGGTGTTTCCGTGACCACTTGTATCTCCCATGGGCCACGAGAGGTGGGAAGAGCTCTTCTGTATTTGCAATAAAACTTTGGCCAGGTTCTACCTCCTTGAGCAGAGGGTATTTTGTCTGTAGGTGTAGCCCTTTCTCCTTTTCTACTCTGACGTGGTGCGCCCGTGCTGAGACACCGGGTGGAATCCAAAGCCCGTTTGGACCGAGGTGGAAGTGGACTCTGGATGGTTGTGTTCTCTCTGCATCGCTGCTCTGTCGACGCTCTGCGCTGTCTGTGGGAAGGGGCTGCTCTGTCCTCCGTGCCACACTGCCCTGGGCATGGCACCACGTGGCCAGAATCAGTGTTCCTGCCCTCCGACCGGTGACCTTCACCATCACTCCCTGCAATAAACACGGGCTGGCTGGCTGCACGTAGCAAGGTTTACTCGCAAGCAAAAGCCGTCAGCTGTGAAGTGTAACAAATTCTGTATTCGGTTTTTGTTGTGGGTTTTGTGGGGTTTACTTTGTTTTTATTTGGGTATTTTCCTTTTGTAAAATTCCTAAATAAATTAAAGAAAATAAACTTGTCTGTGTGTTTGGGCAGGATGTGGAGCTTCCTGTGGGCCTGTGTCATTGTGACCCCGCTCCCCTGGGGAGGATGGAACTTTGGCCCTTTGGCGCTGTTTTAAGGTGGCCTGTCCCAGAGGTACAGCCCTGTGCAGCCTGCAGAGGCTCCAGGGATCCATCAGAAGGAAGCACCACAACAAAAACGGGTGAAAGGAGTTACAAGGGAGTCGCCAGTGCCAGTAGAGCTGGGCTCACCTCAGGCCAGAAGTGGGCTCACAGACAGCCCTGCCGCTCTGCATCTTCACTGCAAGCATGGGCTG